TATTGCGCTAATTTAAAAGTGTTTACAGCTTCCAGATACACGACCATCGCTCCCTCAGTCTGGCTTCCAGACGCACAATTACAAAATTACAATCACCGTCTGCAAATGGTGCCCGGCTAACTTTAGTGCAGAATATATGGGATCCCAGAGAGGCCACATAAAGCTTATACTCGATCGTAACCCCATCTAAAAATAGGTTAACATTGTGCAGTAGCAGGATTCCAGTCAAACAAGTGAGTTTGTCAGTTTTGAGACATCATCCTCCAATGAAAAAAAAATCGCTATGCGGCGATGCGCACGCAGACCAGAAACGGGAGACTTTTTTTTTTGGCCAAATGAAACCATCTATTATTTTTTTAATCGTTGAAAATTGTGCATGAAAAACAGAAATCCTGAATTGTGGGAATCTATGTCCATAGGTGCAGAGTGCATACATGGTGTATGTGTGATGTGTGTCCAGATTGTGAAGCTGGCCACCTCTGGTTTTGGACATTTGCCTGAAGAAATTAACAGATAATAGTGGGCTGGGTAATAGATAAATACAATGACATCCTGGTATGGAAAAGACACTGGTTCTGAAAAGGCAAAATTACCTCATGTGCTACCCCGTGGTTGAACAAAAAAGACATTGACTGTATCACAACAAACGATATTCTTTTTTGTACAGGCCAAGGCTGGGACCGCCATCTCTTTGCCCTGCGCTGCCTGGCTTCGGTCACAGGCAGACCCATGCCGGCAGTGTTCCAGGACCCGGCCTACGCCAACATCAACACCATCACGCTGTCAACAAGTACCACAGGCGTCTCCAAGAGTTCAGCCGGGGCGGCTTTCGCGCCGGTATCCCCTGGCGGGCTCGGTGTGGCTTACACTGTGACGGGAGATGGTGTGAGTTGGATGGGGACCAGCTACTCTGCCTCGCCGAGTCTGTCAGACTTTGCCAGGAGCGTCCATGAAGCATACGATGACCTGTACGAGGTTATGAGTTACAAAACGTAATTGTTTCAATCTGGGTACATTTGTACATTATGACTAACTAGAGGACCACATGTATAAGTCATTAGAGAGGATTCGCATGCAAACGGATACGTTTAGTGCGACGGATACGTCATCAGTTATGATGTCATACGCCGCTCACTTTCCGCTAAACGTGCAGACGACACGCATACATCTCTCTCGCTACACTTACGTAAAAAAACGGATACGGATAGCTAAACGTAAGTGTTAAGCGTATCCGTTCGCTTGCGAAACCTCCCTATTACTGATGGTGTTACGTACCACATTTGCACACAGGTAGTATGCACACACTCAGTGATCTTTCAACCAATAGTGTTTTCAAATCACACACATGCCTGAAATTAAAAACAGCATGTCCAACATCCATGTATCCATCATGCGTGAAACATAATGCGCATTGTGTGTGCTTTAACATCACGCTTACATACATGTACACATGGATTTTAAGAGTGCGCATCACGGATAGGCAACTGGCAAACGTACAACTCACTGCGCAAACAGACACACGGATTTTAGGCCTTAGTCTGTATTGTATTAAAGGCACATTTTTCACTGTCAACTTGTTGTGACGCTGTAAATACGACGGTTTATGGAAAAGATTTCCATATACGAAGTTCACTCAACACCCTGTGTACAAACCCTATGAGACTGGAATGGAAACATTTTAAGTGTTTTCTAAGAAAATGCTTGTATTTTCTCACTGCTCAAATTGACTTTGATGACATGAAATTGCTATCTGGGGGCTTGTTAGTCAATACAGAGGAAAATTAGTGAACTTCGTATATGGAAATCTTTCCCAGTTTATTACCATTTTTGACAACAAATAACCCTATCATGTCTTCACGTAAAACCATTGAAAGTTCTGATTGAACAATTTGTATGAAAGTTTTGATACCTCATGTTTACCAAAAAAAACCACCAATATTTGCATGATATTTTTGCAAGATTTATATATATTATTAAACTTAAATTCCTTCGGCATTAATTTTGGAATTTTTTTTTTTTTTGTGTATATTTTTTCATCAGCTATCATGTATGGATTCATAAGGTGGAATTTTGCGTTGGGGTAATGTAAATCAAATTAGGCTTTGCCCTTCACCGACGTATAAACACTGTATACTCAGTGTGTTACCTCCCGAATGAACATTGGAAAAAATCACTCAGGTGGGACTCGAACCCACGACCTCCTGCTTTCTAGTGCAGATGTCTTACCATTTGACCACCGAGCTAACGGGATCCGCTGGCTGGTTGGAATCTGATGTAAATAGCAGCGGGTACTGCATTAATTATTCATAAGGTGGAATTTTGCGTCGGGGTAATGTAAATCATGTCCATGTATGTACACAATTTGTAGTAGAATCATTACAGCAGGCAATTACAAATGGGCAATAAATCAAAACAATGTTTACATTAACAACAATGTTGTCTTTATGTAGGATTGAGAAACAGTTTATTGCAGGTTTTTGTAATTTTTTTCTTTCTTTCTACATTTAAATAAAGACAGTTAACATTGTATCTTATACATTGTTACTGTTGGTGTAAAAACTGATATTTAGATGCACATACATGTAGCAAGTAGGAATACTAAACAACTATTTTACTACTGAAATATGCCAGAAAATACATTTAAATGTACAGCTGATTTGTACTGAACTTTCTATGAATTTTATAATTAAAGTTGCCTTTTATTTAGAAATAAGCTTTGTTTTGTACATTTTCAGGCAGTTTCATATGGTGCATTTCCCTCGTATACAAACATACATTGTGCAAAGTTGTCAGTCAAAATCAATCAAGCTGGATTGACTTACTGTGACTGTTTATGTAACTTGATACAACTATGTGTTGACAGTGATTGACGAGCCAGCTGTACCTACCACTTGCCTGCTTTTGCCTGTTGACTTAATTTGACTAGTCAAAGTGCTTGCTTGAAATATGATCCGACTGTTGGTGATTAGGCCAAAAAAAAAATATTCGGTCTCTGGTCAGACCAAAGTTCCGGAATTGACACGGGGACGCGGCTTTTTTTTTTTTATTCAAGCTTGGATTGTACAGACATGGTGGGGTATTTTTTTGCTTTTTTGGTGTCCTCATGTACAGTGGTGTCCTCCATAATTTGCCTTGGTGCTCTCGATCATTTGCCTTGGTAAAATTTCCCATTCCTTGGTGCTCTTTGGTAAAAAAAAATTGAGGAGGTGCGGCAATAGAGGGCGCTGTTGGAGCTACCGCGGAACATTTTGGAAAAAAAAAAGATTGACGTGCATGATTAAAATCGACGCGCACGCTGACCAGAGACCGACTTATTTTTTTTTTTGCCCTTAGCCTGAGTAAACGGCATGGCATGTGGAAGAGGATTTTTTTTTTTTACTGTCTGTGGCTGGTCAAACAGCAGGAGGGTTAATGAAGTTATGATCACAGGATATCACTACACTTTTGCCACAAGTGTTTAACCCTTTAGTCACTGTAGCGCCCCAAAACTGCCCTGCCTTGCCTAACTAATACTTGTAGTGACTAAAACACCGTACAGTACTCTATGATTTTACTGACTCTTCAGTAAATAAACACAATGTAATACAATATAGTACAGAGGACCAATGGGTTAAATACTTGGCATAAATACATGTACAACCATGGCAATGATGACTTTTAATACATCGCAGTACTGTTACGTTTCTTCTAATTTGATTGAAAGAACCAAAAGTTTCATTTGCGAAATTTCCCTCTCAATTATAAAAAGAAATGGAAAGAATGTTGCAACCTGACGCTGCTATTTTCTTCATATATCATCTCAATGAAGGTCAGTCGTTGCAAAAATGATGATTAGACATGAATCTGGGACTGAGAAACATTTCCAATTTTGTTAGGAAATACTTAGAAAATGTTCTTGACTCTCCATAGACTTTGTACACAACTGCTGAAGTAGCGTCAGGTTGCAACATTCTTTCCAAGTAAATACATAAACAAGTAAATACTAAAAAAGTAAATACATAAACAAGAAAAATAAACAAGTAACCAAAAGACCCACTTATACTGTAAATGAAAGTTTGAAACTTAAATGTGAATATTATGCAAAGACAAAATAAATACCAAATTATTTCAGACAACACAATAAGTTAACCGATGACGCTTACAGGTTGGGCAAGACACTTGCGAAAAGGCAAGTTATGAATAATAGAAACCTACATTTAACTCGCTACTGTCCTAAAGGCAATGCACGCTTCTTTTTGATATTCATTAACATCCAGTTAGTATTCAGTAACATTCATATTCGCTTAAACGTTAAAGCCACTGACAAACCAGAGATGACCCCAAATTAGTGAAAACTTACAAAAAGAAAAACCAAATCTGAAAATAACCATGCTGTACACAAATTATACAAAACAAACAAGAGTAATGAAAGAAAATCAATATAAAATCTGGACTTGGGGAACAAAAATATGTTTACACGTACATGCACAAAGACAGGCGTAATAATCTACATGTACAAATGTACTTGAAGTTCTTTGTACATGATTTATTGTGGAAGTGTAGGACAATCGGTTGCACAATGCAACAGAAAATGCAATTGGTTGCATTTAGCAGGGCAATTGCTTGGTGCCAAGGCTGGTATGCACTGGGTTCACTGCACAATGCAAAAGAATCCACTGTTGCAATTTGTTGCATTTAGCATGGTTTCTAATTTAGCCAAGTTGCATTTTGTTGCATTTGGCAGGGTGCCTAGAGAAAACCTGTTGGGGGTTAGGGTTAAATGACTGATTAACAATCATTTCAGCAATTTTGCTACAAAACATTTATTTGAAAATGAAATGTGTCCAATTAAGCTAAAAATATTACAGAATGTTTGTACTGAATATTTGTTAAATTGGAAGGAACACAATTAGTCTATGTCCTGCTGAAGCATAAGAATCATTGGCCCTACGTAGGCAAACAGTAAGACAGTAGTGGTAACTACGTGTACAGTCTACAAGAAGTTCCAGGTTGGCACCGGGATTGCTTTAAAGTACTTTCAAACAGCCAGTAACTAATCGGCCAAGACCCTTTTGGAAATTTTGCCGCAATTTGCAGATGGGGCTTTCCTTTCTTTGGTGTGCTTTCTTTAGTTTGCCTAGTCAGGAGCGTGCTTGCTCCTCCAACCCTAGTTGGAAGAGGAGGATACCCATGGGCGTCCGCTTCAGGCCCAGCGATTCCAGCTTCTTGCCCATCTTGTTCTTGAGGTTGCGCATCCTCAGCGAGGCGTGGATGAAGATCACTGAAATCAAGATGAAAAGGAAAGCCTTGGAATGAAACAAAAATTGTCAGGATAAAAACCTCAACCTCAAAACCCTCCCAACTGATATGTACTACATAGCAGGGCCTATATGGGAAACCTTCAATGATCAACTACAGTAAACTCCGGCTAGACTCTTTAAGAAAGCACATAAGTAAACAAAGTGTGACGCCATCAGTCCAGAGGCTTATTGACAGGTGCATGGCAGACTTGCCACTGAATGAGGTTGGCTTCTGAATGATGTGGCCAGCTACTTAACAATGTTGCCAGTTCTGAAGCAACCACTCACTTGCTAGTGGGAGGGCGATGCCCCACATGAACACCAGCAGCCCACCAAACACCTTGAGCAACAAGAAGCAGCACAGCAGGATCAGGAGGAAGCAGACAAAGGGATGGCTCCGCTTGAATCTGTGCATCTCCACCCGGTTACTGGTGGTGTAGACGAAGATGGCAAAGATGACGACCATAGTGAGGAGGCCCATCAGCATGGCTTTGGGGTTCATAGTCCTGGATTGGGAGTAGAAATTTGTAATCATTGAGAAATCTTCTTTATCACACGTACATGTATGCATGATAGATTGAGGACTTGATAAATTTGGGTAAAACAGACAGATGCACACATCAGCATGTGCAATCACGCTGTTCTAGTAAAATAGGTGAAATACTCAAGCCAAGTAAAAAAAAATGTTCTTCATCTGGGCTTAAAAAAGAAGTAGGCAGCCCCTTTTTGTCTTTTTTAACCAAAATGATGGATCAATTCTTCCATTTTCTCGACTATTTTGCCGATACTTCTGCGTCCAGAAAAAAACACCACCCTTCCTACCAGTTGTTGATCTTGCATATTTTTGTCGGCAATCAATAAAAAGTGTCACCAACCAAATTCAAAATTGGAAGAAAAAAATTCTAGTGCCCCAGTTACCGAGTCTAGCAGACCGGCCCTTTTTTTCTCTCCCTCCCCCCCCCCCCCCCCCCCCCTCTGCCCTCAAGATTGTGGATTTTCCAAGACAGTGGTCTGCGTGAATGGATTCTTCAGTTCAATTTTCTCGACTATTTTGCTCATACAGAATTGAGTCCAAAGGAGCCATTTGCCTTCTCTACATAGGCTCATAGCTATACTCTTGTTGGAAACAAATAAAAAGACAAAATAGTGACCATTGATATATATGTGAGCAATAAAAACATTTTGACTCAAATTTGATCAAAACAAAACAGGGGTGATCGTGTAGTGTAGGGCTCAGTTCCTTTAAGGCCGAGGGAATGAAATTCATAGAATACCATACAAAAAAATCATTATTTACCAAGAATAATCTGCCACTACAGTTTACTTCTAATTTTATCAGAATCTGCTCCACACAATTTTTTTAACGCAGAATAGTCGTATTCTGTGTACCACATTGGCGCAAAACCCAATCTGCCCACGCGTACAGAGTACAGTGAACACGCGGTACATATATACAATACGTGCATACAATGTAAAGCGCACGGTTACCAGCACTAGCGCTGCATGATACCAACAACATTATACCTATTACCTATCAGTATGATTTTACATGATTCTGGTTAGTGCTTCAGCATAATGAATAATGACAAAAAGCCTCATTGTTTTTCAAAATCAGCAGGACGGTATTCTATGACTTTCATTCCCTCAGCCTAAGGGAATAAAAATTTTATTAAAATCCACTTTAAAATGACCGACCAAACTAGTTGGCGACATGTTTGTCATAGATATTAGAGGGCAGGGTTTTGATTTTTTTAGGGAAATTTTGGGGTAAAATGACGATGACAGCGCGGCGACAACACGCAACCTGAAAATAAAGACGGCGATCACCGCACAACCAATGCGCTGAATAACAAGGCACAAACTGCGCAGGAAACATGGGGAAATTGTGATTTCTACCCCAAATTTGTGAGTCTAATTTGATCAAAACAAAACAGGGGCCCTACACTACACAATCACCCTTGGATCCTCGAGTCACCATAATCGGCGCAGATAACGCTTGCAACGCGCGCGCCTTGACCAACGCAAATTGAATGTGAGTGCGTCGAAAACGATCCTCATCGGTTTAGATGGACGTGCAATCTTCGAAATGCACGCAGTACGCTGGTCGCTGTGAATAGCCAATCAGCGTCATTTACGTCATCATCACGGCCACGGGTTAGTGTAAGGAAAGTGCACGCGCCCATGGAGTCGAGGCTGACTGACGATAATACTAATTATAGTATAAGACTAAGACTAGAGGCTAGCTATAGGCTAGGCCAAGGCTATTTGTATTTGCTATATTTTGACATTGGACATGTCTGACAGAAATTACTTGATTGTGACACCCACCCAACTATCAGAAATACCAGTACTGCAGTCAAAAAGTAGTTGGTTTGATAGTACAAAAGGTTGTCTATAACACGGTTGGCCCATCTTGAAGGGTCGTTTATAGCAGGCGTAGAGAACCGAGCCGATTCTAGGAGAAAATCGCTGAGAGAGCGAAGAGACGGAACCTCCAAATCGTCCATTTTGTGTACGTGTGTCAATATCGACTGGTGCCATCCGCCTTTTGCGCTATTTTCTAATACCTGCAGAAGGTTTTGAGACCGGTCATTTTTCCCCCATTGCGGTGCTATTAAACTTGTACAAGTCTGTCTTCATTTTAATTTATTCTGGTTGAAACTTTATTTAAACTTTAATTTAAAGCAAGTTTCTTGGTAAACATAAAAATCGATAAAAGTGTCTACTTTTATACGAAAACCAAAAAGAAGTTGTGTATTCATTCGAACATTAAACTTTAGTCAAAGTGACATTTCTGATAATTTAATTTAGCACATGAAACACAAATATTGAGCGCTAGACTTGTGTGCAACTTTAGTTTAGTATAAAATAAACAAAAATCAGATTGCAGGTCAACTCGCCCCCTGGCCGACTCGACCCTTACCGACTCGCCCCTGACTGACTCGCCCCCTGGCCGACTCGCCCCCTGACTGACTCGCCCCTTACCGACTCGCCCCCTGGCCGACTTGCCTCCTCGCGGACTCGGCCCCTGACCTACTCGCCCCCCGACCGACTTGCCCCCTGGATCACATTGCATGCCCGGTCGTGTCGTGAATCTCAATGGAGCCAAATTATTCAAACGCCATTTCAAATGACTTCTGGGTACAATAACAATAATTATTATAATAAATGGTAATATTAACCAATAATAAAAAGGTCACACATTAAAATAAAAAATCCCTTTCCGCAAGAGAAGAGGGTAAATCACGTTCAATTTACTCAAATAAGCTTCGTTATCTGAGTTTCGGTTTTGATTCTCAAAGTTGAGCCTCAGCTCCTCCTATAACACCAAACAAAAAACTGTTTTTTTTATTTTCACAATATACATCTTTAATTCTTAAAATACTTTTTAATGAAATGCGGACTTAAAGTTGAGATTTACAAACGATGAACGCGGTACATGCCGCGCACCCGCAGTCACCATGAACGGACCGCGAATTAGACCGGCTGCTACGCGCGATAGGCCCCGGGCACTCCGCGAATACCGGTACAGCTGTGCTAATGTGTTTCCAACCCAAATTCTTCATAAAAGATCAATAGTTTCTTGCATTTGTACCGGAAATCCTTCAAAATTGGCGTTTGAATAATTTGGCTTCATTGGGTTTCATGCTACGATCGGGCAATATGTTCCCGCACTGTCATTATTATTTTTTTTTCAAGATATCCTTGTGATGAGATTATGCATGCAGTATATTCCACCAGATACAGAACCAGAATAAAATGTCCGGTTTCGAAGAGCGCTCCATTGTTTGTAAATTTGGTACCAGCCCGGCCCTCTCCCCCCATTTAATTTTACGGAGGCCAATATGTCCGGTGAAAAAAAACATGTCGACATCAAGTTCAGCACGGACGTGCCCCCCCCCAAAAAAAAACAAGCTGGATACGCTGCTACACCAACGGACGATGCCTTTTATTGAGCAAGTGCCCCGGTGATGCGACTGTAACTGGTCAGTCCAAAAATTCAACCCCAAAAGTGGGTGCAGCCCCCCAAAACCACTTTTCATTTGCATGTTTTTTAATAAGAAACATTTCGTTTTCGTCCTTCACAAATGTATTTAAACAGGCAACTGTTTTCAACTCATTAAGTTGATCAGTATGAAACTGTGCCACCCCTCTAAGTAAGTCTCGTGACCAAAATGTAATCGCCCATCGGGATTACGTCATTAGCATTCTATCCGACTCTCATTTATAACCCAGGCTTGTGCTGAATGACATTATGCAAATAATGTTTAGAAGATTTCCACTCAGACTCCAGCCCTATTGTTACATTCATGCCTCGCTGATCACCATGGTACAGCGACCAAGCGTGCACGGGCTTTATCTTAAGCTGTTGTTTCGGTGCTGGGCTAGGCCTTCATTACTGTCGTTGTGCTCCTCACGCTCACTGCATGCAACTCATTACACTGTTCAAAATTATCATTTTGGCTCGGTATAAAATTGTTTATTCTAATTGAACGTGCACATTGTGTCCAATTTATATGTATTAACAAAGACATCGTTACCATTTACTCCAAGATCAACATAAAGAGGGGCAATGTCTTCAAGAGTAGAAAGAGGTACGTTACATGTCTCTGATTAATGTACATGTGTATAAATAGCCTAAGGTTCTCCTACCAAAATCTAGGGCCACTTTAAAGCTATAGTCCATCATTTGCAGCCATCCGAAAAGTAACTGGCGTAATTACTGTTGAAAAACAAACTTGGTTGAAAGATAGTAAGGGAACTAAACTCCCTGTGAAATTATTCTTTCTGGGAAGCTGTCATTTTGAAGTAATCAACGAAAGAAGGCCTTTCCAACGGTGCTTCTTAAGAAGCACCGTAGGAAAATTTAAATTAGTAGTTCGTTTTGTTTTTCAGCGCAGCGCGCACAAGTATTGAAACCACGCACACGCGCGCGCAGTTGTTATAATTCGTCGGATCAGTGCGCGACGCCGCGTATAGCTGCAATTCAAAACATGATTCAGTAACTTTTGATTTGAAATTGAGATCTTAGAATGCTGCTTTTCTCGGAATATACAGCTGAAGCTGAGCTGAAACTTCATCAGGTTAGTTGCTCAGTATCCGTCTGAACACTTTTGTTGCTTCAAACAAAAAAAATGCACTAATTACAAATGATGGACTATGGCTTTAAGTAAGTGTAAGGCCTTTATTTGTGTATAAATTATAACTTGGGGACGCGCTGCCGATCTAGTCTTTTTATTCTATATCTATGCATAGAAATTCGAAAGACGCGTGTAGTAATTGCGTTCGCACGTTTGTAAATACAATGGGGCGTGGCTATAGGCTCCGTTAATCCGAAGCAGTTTAGATATAAAGTTTGAGACTGCAAGAAGCCACTGGCCGGCCAGGAATTGTTTTCTGGCTGAGCGGATAAATTACTTCATTTCAAGGCAGTAAAATGCTTTAATTTGTTTAGGAAGCTCTGGTAAAAGTAGAGAGTTTTGTCACCTGAAACAGAGAACTCCTTAGAAGGGAAAATACAACTTTTCAAACGTCGAAAAATAAAACTACCACGTTTTTTACGAAATACCTTACTAGAATGTTGGTAAATGACAGTCTAAAGCATCCTGTAAAATTATGGCACCTGGTGTCAAATTATTTTCAAGAAAATGGTATTTTTGTATAGATTTCCAACGGTGGTCGGCCGACCACCGTTGGAAAAACCTTACTATTTTTCAACTACTGCTCCAATTTTCCTTTTTTTGTGTCCAAATTTTGTTTGCTATTGGTTACATGTTTATGGACGGGTGCAGGCCAGCCTTACAATTTTCCGACATCTATAAATTGATCCATTTTATCTTTAGTGGAGTCAAGGAACCAGACAACTTAAACATTTTTGTTTTTCTTGGTTTTTACCACTTTCGAACCCAAAACCTCAAACATGTCAGATAAACAATACTTGAGCTATAATACTAACCCCTCAAATAGTTCAGTTCTGAAAATTACAGCAAAAGCCAATGATGTACATTCCCTTTAAATTTCATTGGATGTTAAAAAAAAGTTTACATGGGAAGATAAATTACAGCAGAATTAAGGTTGAACGAAAATGATTATTTTATTCAATAATAATGCAATGCCAATAGGAATTCGTCACGTGCATTGACATTGTGTTCCCACGTGTGTTAATTTGCATATAGGAATTCATAAAATACGTGCAGTGACATTGCGTTCGCACGTTGAGTATAACATTTGCATAGAAATTCGTCTGAAATTTGCAGTGACATTGTGTTCGCACGTGGGGAGAAAATACAATTTCGAAAGAATTCGTCAGACACGTGCAGTGACATTGTGTTCGCACGTGGAACAGTTGAAGGGTAGCATTCCAGTGGATTGTTTTTTTTTTTTCAAATGGTTGTCTCTGAATAATTTAACTCGCTCATTTACACCAGTATTTTCAATGATAAACCTGTGACAGTGTCTCCTTCATTGTCACATTGACTTGCAGGTCTTATGTAACTCCCTTTCTGGAGAAGGTTAAAAGACGTTCTCCACCTCAGTCTCAGAAACTAAAAAATAAATTGAAACAATATAAAACCTAATCAACATTCTAGGCAAAACGTTGGTGCAAGTGATGCAAACAATTAATTAGTTTTTTTGTAGGTCAAGTTGGGAGGAGTGTAGACGCTGCAGGCGTGCATTATGCAGCATCCGCAAAGCAAAGCAGCTGCTGGATCTGTTGGAGTGTTAATGTTATGTTATAGACCGCTTGCAGACGCGTTCGATAATTGACGCGCTAAGGTGAGCGACGCCATGTTATGGGACAAAATGTGCGTGAATTGATATACGCCTGTCCCACAACATGGCGTCGCGCGCCTTCGCGCGTCGATTATCGAACGCGTCTGCAAGCGGTCTATAGGCATTTAGATAATGTTCAAGGCATTTAGATTCGGCGAAATATTCTCATACGCGTTTAGAAACCTCCGCACCGCGTTCTGTCGCTTTTCCGTGCGACAATAAGGCATATTCATACGTAATGTTCGGCAAACTCGTGTTTTTGTTTTTTGGTTTTTTTGGCTAGACCGGAGACGGTTTGGTACGAAGACCGTGAAGGGACATGGGAGTTATTTTGCTTTTCATTTTCACAATACTATTACGTATGTGTTATTGTCACGTACGTACGTAACTCACTCACGTACTTGAATATTATCACGTACGTAGGTAATATTATCACGTAGGGCCCACGTGATAATTATTACGTACGTAGGGCCCACGTGATAATTATTAAGTACGTATACACAACGTATACTCGTTTAAGGATACACGTTATCACTTACATATGCAATACATGTACGCACGTAATATGTACTTATTTATCAGGTATGTACGCAATGATAATACTAATATTACGATAGTACGTAATATTATATTATCACAGGTACGTATGTGATTAATTAAATGTATCACGTACGTACGTTGTGATTGTCATATGTATAGTAGTAGGCCCTAAATAAGAACAATATGTTCATCTCCTCTTGGTCTTCGTACCCACGTACCCGCGTATCCGCATATCCGCGTACCTGCGTAATCGCGCGATTTCGTGTACCATACTTCGGAATGTTATAAAACTTAGGAACTGTTTAGCAAAGTGCAATGAACAGTGTTAGGGAAAATGAAGAAAACAAAAATTAGGGAGCAAGCATAGCCTGCTGCGAGCATGCGCACATTGAGCCTGCAGGCAGTGCAATGGGGAGTTTTAGAAGTTTTCTAAAAAAATAAATTAAATAAAATAACACTAACTTAATGCAAACGAAAATCAGTCTAATGAATAACACTGTCCCTATAAACTTGAAAGTACTGGTGTATTTTATTTTAGCTATTAAGGAACTTCACTCGCAAATTTAAAGTCGATTTTGTAATTGATTGAGAGTCATTTTGTGATGTTTTATCGATCCACTGGAATGCTGCCCTCTATACGGACATTGGCTGGTACTTTGCCCAACTCAGAACAATAATTAAACAAAGTTAGTAAAACAACTACAGAAAGTGGCAGGCCTGGTGCGTTGTCCACCAACGACGATATAATTTCTTTATGATTGTATAAAATGTTTAAAGGGAATATACAACATTTGCAAACATCGAAAAATAAAACTACCAAGTTTGTACGAAATACCTTACTAGGATGTTGGTAAATTACAGTCTAAAGCATCCTGTAAAATTATGGCATCTGGTGTCGAGTCATTTTCAAGAAAATGGTATTTTTGTATACATTTCCAACGGTGGTCGGCCGACCACCGTTGGAAAACCTAACTATTTTTCAACTACTTCTCCAAACTTACAATTTTTTTCAGTCCAAATTCTGTTTGCTATTGGTTACATGTTCATGAACAGGTGCAGGCCAGCTAGACTGGTTCCCTTATCTTACAATTTTCCGACATCTATAATTGATCCATTTTATCTTTAGTGGAGTCAGGGAACCAGACTACATAAACAGTTGTGTTTTTCTTGGTTGTTCAAGCATTTTCGAACACAAAACTTCAAACATGTCAGTTAAACAATATTTGATCTATTATACTAACCCCTCAAATAGTCCATTTCTGAAAATTACAGCAAAAGCCAATGATGTACATTCCCTTTAAGAGCAAACAAGATTCATAAAATCTAGGCCATCGGCAACTGACAGTGACCATGCCTGGTGCAGTGTCACTGGTAAGGGACACCCTCTTCGGTGCATATTAGTAGCGCCGATTTCCAAGAGGCCCCTTCCTTCAGAAGAACTTGAACATTAAAACTTAGACCACTTAACAAAAACACGGAAGGACGTTACTACTTCAATAGCCATACAGAAAAAAAACTGTTGGTTAATAATTAACGCTAATTCCTAAATGAGCTCCCTGTTAAGGTGACATATACGCTCTTATAGTAACACTGAAAAGTAAAACAAATCTGGGATTAACAGCGTCTGTAAAAGCGCCGCATTGTCTATACTTCGCTAGTCTGTGAGCAGTGAGGGCACAGTTGACAGTTGACCATATTTAATCAAAAGTCATAACGTTGGTTAATTATACTTTGCATAAATTTATATAAAAGACATTTTTATTCTGTGAAGACCTTTTAAGCTCGGTTCATTATTAAGTATTTAAAGATAAACTTATCTGTGAGTAAATAATGCTTACAGAGAGAATGACTTTTGGGGGAAAAAACTCAAAAGTAGATTGTATTTTGTTTCATTGTAAATGTTGCATGTTTGATTTTTTGCCTTAGTGTGCATTGCTCTCTGTGTGGTGTGATTTGTTTTTAATGGTATCCGTCTGTTGTCTCTGACAATAGACACAATTAAATGTTTTTAAATCATATAAATCGTTGGCTACGAAAATGTCAAATCGTTAAGCAAAATCGAAGCAGACGTCGAAAGGAATAATACTTGAAATCAGTGTTATTTTTTTCTCAACTGCAATACGTCGGGCAAAAAATGTTACGGTTTTGAAGCGACAAGCCTCAAATTGACGAAAATACGAAATCAACTTTAAAATGTTAGGCAGTATTGGAATAAATAATACCTGAGTTCGGTGTTATTTTTTACCTTTTACTGCAATACCTACCCGGATATTTACTTGACTACGCGTATGACGAAAACTGAATACAAGATTCAAATCGGTCCAAAATAAATTGTAGCGAAAATCACATCGTAAGCGAATTTTTTTCCGAAAAAAAAAAATCACTCCGCTTTCTACGTGCACTGTAGGCCTACACGCTAGGAAAATGATGAAAATAACGCGAGGAAAACATCACAGCGTTAATGAGAGTAAAAATACCTGAAAGTAAACAAAATGGGTTATGGAAATAACAAATCAAAATGACGAAAATAACGGCATAGAAATTAATCATCTGCAACGAGAGAAGTAAATACATGTACATGTACTTGCAAATTGGTGCTAATTTCTAAACTTCGATCCCTTTCCAAATTTGGCCACAGAAAAAAAGACCGAAATTAAGATTGAAAAAAAGTATGAAATTATTCCGAGCAGTGAATACCGGTTCTACATTGCCAAAATTCGCTTTCCGATTGTTTGAGGCAAACGGTGGGAAAATGACGGCAGCAAAAGAAAATGAAATTGACGAAATTACGAGAAAACAATCACACCATAATGAACAAAATATCTGTTTAGAAAATGACTGAATTTCAGTTATATACAGCGGCATTTCAAAAACATCAAAATTGTTTGCATTGTCGAGAAGTGCCTTCAAAACGACCTTATTGCCTCCCCCCCCCCCCCCCACACACACACACACACCGAAAAAGGTACATTGTGAAAGGTACAACTTATTGGCAACCCGCCATTATCGGCGTCGGCACATGTTCATGTGCATTATGACAAAAAAGATCATATCTGTTCTTAAAAGTAAATAGTGGAAACATGGGTAGAATCGTTTAGTTTCCATTTGGTAACAAGTGGCCTCATTACAGGTAGGCTTGCTTTGAAATGTTTCACTTCAGTAACAAATGGGCTAGGCCCAGTGTTTTCGTAACCCTGTTCACTTAGGAAAGAGTTGCAGCTTTCATCAAAGAAACTGATGATCTAAAAGTTGAGACTGCATCACATGGATGAGCAAGGCTGCTTTGTCTGGACGAAAATGAACCCTCCAAGGCTCCAACAGCCTCATCACACAGAAACTCGAGGAACTGGAAGCAGGGAGGAGGACCGACAGATAAACGGATGACCTGCTTGCTGGGCTACCCATTACTGATTCTCGAGGTTAGTTTACATGTTGGCCTCCTTTTTGCAGGATCAATCAAGTCACAGAACTCATCAAAATGGGCGATCTGACTCTGTTATAATGTTCTAACACAAAGAACGAGTTCTTGGTAGCGGGCTTTGCTTTGTGGGGTTAATTCAATGTTTTCTTTCCCCTTTCTAGCCCTGGCACGAATACAGCTCACTAATTCCCCGGAAGCAGGGAGGAGGACCGACAGATGAACGGATGACCTGCTTGCTGGGCTTCCCATTACTGACTATCAGGTTTGTGTACATGTAGCCTGCTTAAACAGAAACAATTAAGAACTAATCAAAATGGGCGATCTGGCGCTCTTCTTTGTTCGTCCACAAACAACGAGTTCTGGTAGCGGGGCTTTGCTTTGTGGGGTTATTCAATGTTGTCTTTACCCTTTCTAGCCCTGGCACGATTACAGCTCAATAAATCAAATGTTTCCTTTCGTCATTTGAATCCTTTTAGAAAAATGAGGACCACTGACTGATGAGGGAATTGCTCTACTGGGATTGATGAGCCTGCCTCAAGACTCGTTAGGGCTCCAACAGCCTCATCAAACAGAAACTCGAGGAACCGGAAGCAGGGAGGAGGACCGACAGATGAACGGATGACCTGCTTGTTGGGCTTCCCATTCCCGATTATTAGGTTAGTTTACATGTAGGCCTTCTCTTAACAGGAACAATCAAGTCACAGAACCATTTAAATGGGCGATCTGACTCTGTTATTATGTTCGTCCACAAACGAGTTCTGGTAGCAGGGCTTTGCTTTGTGGGGTTAATTCAATGTTTTCTTTCCCTTTTCGAGCCCTGGCACGAATACAGCTCAATAATTCAAATGTTTCCTTTCGTTATTTGAATCCTTTCAGCAAAGCGAGGACCACTGACTGATGAGGGAATTGCTCTACTGAGATGAGGATGAGCCTGCCTCAAGACATCGTCAGGGCTCCGATAGCCTCATCAAACAGAAACTCGAGGAACCGGAAGCAGGGAGGAGGACCGACAGATGAACGGATGACCTGCTTGCTGGGCTTCCCATTACTAATCCTTGAGGTTAGTTTTTAGTTACATGTACCTAAAGAATAAGCAGAAACAAGTAATCAAAATGGGTGATCTGGCGCTCTTTTATGTTCTCCCACAAATAAAGAGTGCTGGTAGTGGGACACTGCTTTGTTCGGTTAATTCGAACATTTCTCCCCCCCCCCCCCCCCCCTCTTGCTCTACCTTTTAGATATTTTCTAATAATAATTTGGATATTTTCTTTCGTCATTTGAATCTTTTTACAGACATGAGGACCACTGACTGATGAGGGAATTGCTCTACTGGGATTGATGAGCCTGCCTCAAGACTCGTTAGGGCTCCAACAGCCTCATCAAACAGAAACTCGAGGAACCGGAAGCAGGGAGGAGGACCGACAGATGAACGGATGACCTGCTTGTTGGGCTTCCCATTCCTGATTATTAGGTTAGTTTACATGTAGCCTTCTCTTAACAGGAACAATCAAGTCACAGAACCATTTAAATGGGCTATCTGACTCCGTTATTATGTTCGTCCACAAACGAGTTCTGGTAGCAGGGCTCAGTTGCTTTGTGGGGTTAATTCAATGTTTTCTTTCCCTTTTCTTTCCCTGGCACGAATACAGCTCAATAATTCAAATGTTTCCTTTCGTTATTTGAATCCTTTCAGCAAAGCGAGGACCACTGACTGATGAGGGAATTGCTCTACTGAGATGAGGATGAGCCTGCCTCAAGACATCGTCAGGGCTCCGATAGCCTCATCAAACAGAAACTCGAGGAACCGGAAGCAGGGAGGAGGACCGACAGATGAACGGATGACCTGCTTGCTGGGCTTCCCATTACTAATTCTTGAGGTTAGTTTTTAGTTACATGTACCTAAAGAATAAGCAGAAACAAGTAATCAAAATGGGTGATCTGGCGCTCTTTTATGTTCTCCCACAAATAAAGAGTGCTGGTAGTGGGACACTGCTTTGTTGGGTTAATTCGAACATTCCCCCCCCCCCCTCTTGCTCTACCTTTTAGATATTTTCTAATAATAATTTGGATATTTTCTTTCGTCATTTGAATCTTTTTACAGACATGAGGACCACTGGTGAGGGAATTGTCCTATGATGGATGAGCCTGCCTCAAGCTGCCATAAGCTGGGAGGACCAACGGTTGACTGACACTGCCTGCTTGGTTGGCCATTACCGATTCTTGAGGTATGTTTACTTGAAAAGAGACCAGGGATATGTAGGCCTACACTTAAATTTGTTATTCCTTTAATACTATGTCACCTCTTACAATGCTTGATTTCCTCTTTAAATATTAATTCTAATTTTGTTCTAGTTTACTCTTTTTGTAATGTTTTAGAAGATGAGGACCGCCAAGCTTGGATGACACTGGAAAATTACGAAGCTGCTCTATCTGGACAACGATGCCCTCATCAGACACTTTCCGATTTGCGGAATATTGGATCAAAAATCAGACTGCATATTATTTTGCAATATTATAAAACATCAAAACGACTAAAATACGAATTCTTACGCCAAAGATACCGCTATAATTGGAAGAAATAATAGCTTAAATCACTGTTACTTGTTAACTTTACTGAGATACCTATACCTGAAATATTTGACAATGAATATGACGAAAATTGAAGAAAAATAGTCAAATGTGTGTTACAAGTACATTGCAGTAAAAATCAAATCATGAGCGGATTTTCTTCTCACAGAAATGCTTCTCTGCTTCCAACAAGTGGCTGAGAAAATGATGAAATTTACGCCGAAAATAACTGAAATCAGTGTTGTTTTTGAAATATTTGACTAAACGCGTGTGACGAAACATGGAAACAAAAATCAAATCGGTCCAAATTAAATTACAACGAAAACCACATAGTATATACGTGGAGATTCTTCTCGAAGCATGGCACTCTGTTTCTACAGGTAGCTACAGGAAAATTACGAAAGTTACACCGAAAATCAACGCGACATATAAGTGAAGTGACGAAACATAGTTTACACGGCTAAAAATATCACAGCTTTAGTGAGAGAAATAATACTTGATATCAGTGTTATTTGTCTTACCTACAAAGTGAGAAAAAAAATCGATAGCGGAAGAACCAAATTAAAGAGACGAAAATTACGGTAAAAAGATTAACAGCGGCAGCGAAAGAAATAAATATTTCAAAATCGGTAATTTTCTAAACTTCTAGGCCCTATGCCATGCAAAAATTTGCTAAAGAAAATGACCGAAATAATGTTAACAAAAAAAAATTCAAATTATAATCGGCAGCCACTTCCGGTACGGTACTACACTGCTTAAAAAAGTCGGAAACCGAATTCGGTAAACGGTGCACCGCGGTGGGGAAAATGACGGCAGAAAAAAGTTTTTAAAAATGACGGAAATTAAGGAAAAACTCCATTATGTCGATGTAAAGAAATTGACTGAATTTCAATTAAAGCAGCATGTTAAAGGCATTCCCCCCAAGTTCTAGGCCTACACCGCTTCTTTTAAGTATTATTCGTCAGCTAAAATAACTGCAATTTTTGACATTGTCAAGAAGTTTGCCTTCAAAAAGGCCAGAAATAGCCAGGTTATGCATGTGAAAGGGTACAACTTAAGTGTAATCAACAAAGCGGCGATAGGGAAAATGGCTGTACAGTAAATAAGACATGCGACATATTTACCAACGCATGCGACATTTCTTCGTGTTTTTGTAAAGGTTTAAACTTAATCTACATCATTTTTGTGAGTCCGATTTGGAAAGATCGGCAGGCCGGGATTCATGTTTTCATCAAGTTTATATTTCTCCTTTGAGTTACTCATTTGGTTGTCTTACTCTGACCTTTGATAACGCATAAGGTCGACAGTGCTGTTTTATTGAAGGGAGAACACGAAAACCATAACGGAAAAAGGCGTTGCAGTAGTTAGAGATCGGTCTAATATAGACTTTCACGATCAAATCTTTGTGGGCTACGAGTACACCTTACTTAACGTAAATTTCAAAAGAAAGCATTTCAAGATATGCGACAGGTTTAGAGTTCATAGAAAACTACTATTTCCTTGTTGATTTTAGCCTACGTGTAACCTTCCCTCCGTAGAGTACTATATATGTTCAATGTAAGTCTGATTTGGAAGGGATCGGCAAGGATTAAGATGGCATTTTGTCATCTTAATGTCACGTGATTTTTTTTTAATGGTTGTTTATATAGTGTGCGAGGTATATACAGTTTCCAAAGCAACCTGCCATTATCAGCGTCGGCACATTATGACAAAGTAATCGTGTCTGTTTTAAAAAGGAAATAATGGAAACATGGGTAGAATCGTTTGGTTTCCATTGGGTCCTACCCATGACCTGGTTATAGGTAGGCTTAGACAAATGGGCTAGGCCTAGTGTTTTAGTACCCCTGTCCACTGAGGAAAGAGTTGCAGCTTTCATCAAAGAAACTGATGATCTAAAAGTTGAGACTGCATCACATGGATGAGCAAGGCTGCTTTGTCTGGACAAAAATGAACCCTCCAAGGCTCCAACAGCCTCATCACACAGAAACTCGAGGAACCGGAAGCAGGAAGGGGGACCGACAGATGAACGGATGACCTACTTGCTGGGCTTCCAATTACTGATTCTTGAAGTTAGTTTACATGAAGGCTTCGTCTTAGTCACAGAACTCAAAATTGGTGATTAGCACTTTTCTGTGTTCTTCCACAACGAGTGCTGGTATAGAGTTGTGTTGCTTTGTGGGGTAAAAGTCGAAGTTTTCTTTCTCCTTGCACATATTTCTTAATAATATTTCAGATATTTTTTTTCGTCATTTGAATCCTTGTAGAGAAATGAGGACCACTGACTGATGAGGGCATTGTCTTACTGAGATGAGGATGAGCCTGCCTCAAGCCATCGTAAGCTGGGAGGACCGACGATTGACTGACACCGCCTGCTGGCCTGGCCATTTCTGATTCTTGAGGTGAGTTTACTTTGAAAACGAAAAAAGACCAGGGTATGAGGATTATAATTTGTTATTCCTCTGATTGTAGTTTGTCCCTCCTACAAAATCCACAGTGCTTGATTTCCTAATATATGTATTTTTTTTAATTTGCTTGCTTATTTTGTCATGTTTAGGACATGAGGATCACCAAGCTTGGACGAGTCTGGATAATGACGAAGCTGCTCTACTGGACAAGGATGCCCTCATCGGAAATTTGAGTTGAAAAAAACTAGCTTGCACAATATGAAATAATAAATCGACTGCATAATGCAACGTCATTAATGTTATACACTAAGGCAACAACACTAAAATAAAATGAAAAGTAATTTTGATTTCATTAAATTATTTATGCCTCTAAAATAATCTTAAACCGGATACTGCAACAGACAGTTAACAATGGACAATAATGGAAACTTGCTGGAAAATTATTGTAAGGGTAATGATTTGTCACTGGCTTTTCAGCAGTGACATGTCTGGGAAAAGGGATGTTCCTTTGATCTGTCCTGGGTCATCCAAAATTATTGCATCAATAAGTTAATAATTTCATACTCCTTACCTTTAGTGCATCCAATTGGATCTTCTCGGTAAATTATAAACGAGGTCTCCCCTAACGCTTTCTATTTGCTTTTTGTTCAGTTGACAATGAGAATTTTGCTCTATAAATTTAATTTGATATTGAAAGTGCAATTTTAAGAAAACCAATTTAAGTTTTAAGAGTTTTGAAAGATTTCAAAAATGATTGATTTATTGTTTAAAAACTGAAGAAATGTAACACACTTTATTTAAATTTAACGTCTTTAACAAGACGTCGGTTTAACTAAAACGTGACTTTCTTTCCATTGTATATTTATTAGAAAACACAAGAACGTTTAATGTTTAGGAAAATTTAAAGAATAAACTGTTCAGGAACTTCTATCCATCGAAATGCATTGCAACAGGTATGAGTGACACTCAAATTACATTTGTGTTTATCCTTTTGTGATTTATTTCATTGCACTTTTTTTATTTGTTATATTTTTACTTCGTATGCACAATTGTTTTTCTTGGTGGTTTTGCATGTCTTTTCATTTTCTTATTAATAACTAACCTCACAAAAGGATAAACGCAATATATATCGAGTGTTGAACTTGCCTGGCATCAAATAGCTAAATTAGACAAAATATAGTCCTGAAATGTTTCAAAATAATCTAGGAATTTTTTTTGGAGGGGGGCATTCTCAAGTTTTATCTTCCCTTTTAAAAATCTTATTCACAAAATGGCGAAATACAAAAACCTGGATTTACCGTGTACAGTCATGTAGTCGTTGCTTATGTAATAATCATCTATGATATTATAAAGTGATTATTAATTTCTCAAATTTATTGGCCTTCTGCCCAACTTTTCCCCTCATTTGGAATCTTTTGTATTTGTTTGTATGAATTGGTTAAATATTTGTATGTCAATAAGACTAAGGAATTAAACAAAATAAATAAAACTTGAAAGATGTGAGACACTTGATCATGATCCTTGGAAGGTTGTCGTTATTTTGCCTATTTTTGTTTTAGTTGTTGGCGGGGGAGGAGTCAAGCTACTACACAAGTAACAAAACCCAGCTGAAATGACGTTTTATTATTTATGGGTGATTGGGGGCGGGGTGTGCACATAAAGGCACGTCAGGGAATATAAAATAATAAGGTGTTTTTGTAAGGGAAATCTTTACTCTTAAACGGAAATAAAAAAAATCTCCTAGGTTCTACCTTTTAAAATTTTCCGATGAAAAGACCCGAACTTGCATACGCACAATTTGCATGCCCCCATCCATGGGCTTTTAAAAAGAACTTTTGCAAATGGGAAAGACACTTTGGAAACGACCGATCAGTTTGAATATGCTTCATGAATTTCTGAATAAACGAGCACATTTTTAAACAGTATTTAATTACTATTATTTTTCGATGTGGTGGTGGGGGGGGGGGGGGGGGGGGCGGGGCGGGGTGGCGGGGGGGGGGGGTAGACAGAAGAGTGGCGCAATAAAACCGACAGCGGGCGCAATAATTTTGATTAGGAATAATTTAACCGGACCCTGTTTTTTTCCAAAAGAGCATGAAGAGTGTGTCTAAATGTGTAGGTGCATAATTTTCCGGGGGCGAGTAGGTTAGGGGGCGAGTTGGCGAGTCGGCTAGGAGCGAGTCGGTTAGGGGGCGAGTCGGTCAGGGGGCGAGTCGGTCAGGGGGCGAGTCGGTCAAGGGGCGAGTCGGTAAGAGGCGAGTCGGCCAGGGGCGAGTTGACCTGACACCAAACCATGCATGTGACGTCGGTGAGTGTGAAGGGGTTGCAGGTGAGGACGAGTTTCAATGTTTTCCTTGACTGACTGTTTTCATTTGATCAGCCTCAATATTGCTTATTGGTAACAATACAATAAACATTTACCAAACATGCCAAATAAATTGTTTGTGTTACCTTGCAGTGTAATAGTGGATCAATTGGTCATGTTCATAGAGGCTCTGGAGCTAATGACAAGTTTGTTGCAACCTGACGCCATTTCACCGGTCATGCCGGTGACCGGTTGTGTACAATTTAGTCTAACTTTGTGCGCTTTCTTGCAATTTGCGCAATCTTAAGAATGAGCGCGCATTCTTAAACACGAGCGCGCATTCTTAAAAACGAGCGTGCATTCTTAAGAATGAGCACGCAATCTGAAGAATGAGCGCTCATTCTTAAGATTGCGTGGGAATATTATTACTAATATTGTTGATGTACCCTAACGTGGCGCGGCCCCTAACATGGCGCACTTGGATTTTTCGCCGGTAGCGCCTACCTAGAGCAAAATTTAAAACTGAAATTTCACAGAAAGTGAAATTTCATCAAGTTCTAAACGGTCCTGTTCATAAATCGCGAGTTTATTTACCCGTAACAAAGTTAGAAGGAAAAGCTATTTTGGCGTGATTTTCCGATTTTATTTTCAAGTGCAAAGTGAACCCTTTGAAAATGCCCTAAAAAATAAAAAAATAATTTTCTGACAAACATTTGGCTGGGTATGTAAGTAAAGATATTAATTATTTATCAGAATTTATCAAGTTTACAGGAATTCGTAAGTGTTAATTTGGAATTTTCCAAGATTTATTCAAGTGCGCCACGTTAGGGAACACTCCGCCACTTTGTGCCCAATTTCCGGACACCACCATTTTTGAATTTCGGATTAAATTTTATGAAACTGAAATTGTTCACAGAGGTAAAATAGCAAGCATTGATAAGGTAAAAGTACTAGTATTTCATTGCATGAATTTGAGGTTTGTCAACAAAGAGGTTTGGCAACACTACACGAGGAAAGTCGGGTAAGCTTCGAAGTGCGCCACGTTAGGGTACACGACTATACTAGGCCTACTTGTGCAATTTTTGAATTTTGCGCAATCTTAACAAACACTGCACGGCATTATTATTAAAATTTTAATTTATTATTTTTAATTAGAGGTTAAAGGGGAAATAATCATATGATGAGACAAGCAAATGATCTATGCATCTGTACCTGTCGAACTACGATAATTTGAATTCAATTAAACAGTTAAAGCTGTTTTGTAATAACGGAGGACTGGAAACTAGTCTGGGAAGTGCTTTGATTAGTCTAGACAAGTTACAAGTCCCTCACCATACTTGTACGCATGCTGAGTGATCATGAGGAACACGTTAGGCCTATACATTTTTGCTATCAGAATTCTTTCCACCAATGTTCCTTATTATTTTCCCCAATACGCATAATACTTTCATATCTACCTTACATTGTTATATCTTTTCCCTAGTGAATTTGCGATGCCACAGTATAATTATTTAAAGGGAATATACATCATTTGCTTTTGCTGTAAGTTTTAGAAATGGATGGAATTGGGGGGTTGGAAATATATAGCAAATATAGTTACACTGACTTTTTTGAGGTTTTAGGTTCGAAAATGCTATAAAAACTAAGAAAAACAATCATTTTCCTGTAGTCTGGTTCCCTGACTCCATTTAAGAAGAAACAGAGCAGTTTACATATATTGGGGAATTTTAAGGTCAGGGAACCAGTCTAGCTGGCTTGTACCCGTTCATAGTGTGTAATCGATTGCAAACAAGTGTGATGGTCAACTGGGGCCAGTATTTGAAAAAAAGCCAGTTTTTTTCCAACGCTGATCGGCCGATCAGCGTTGGAAATTGATACAAAAATACCACTTTTCTTGAAAATGACAGTATACCAGGTGCCATGATTTTACAGGATGCTTTACACTGTCATTCACTAACAGTCCAGCAAGGTATTTCAAAATGATTTGGTAGTTTTATTTTTTGATGTTTGCAAATGTTGTATTTTCCCTTTAAGTACAGCCCAAGAATTAATCAGTGAACGAGGATGCAGCTTAACTCGCCAAGCGCAGCCGGTTCTCAGCATTGAAAAGATCGCTTCTCTTGTTGTGCATTCTTAAGAATGTGCGCTCAATCTGGAAGTGGAAGATTTTTTTTTTTCGAAGATTGCGCACGGATCCAGTTCAGAGCACGGTGCTGTTTATATACATATCGTACGTACATTGACTGAAAAAGAAAACCATATTCGTACTCCGTCGTGTCCGATGTAAACAACCAAGGTTTTTTTGTCTTTTCTCAGGAACGGTAAGACATTAGGTTGGTTTCCTTTGAACCAGATGTTTAAAATAGGCTAAGTAAACGATCCAAAACATGAAATTCTCGGAGAGTTCAGGACCTGGTGCCCCTTTATAATTAAGTCAAGTGCATTTACATACAATTTTGTATGTAGCCTTTGTTTTCTGTACTTTTAATTGTATGTTGACTGAATAAAAATATTGTTTTGTACAAACAGTGTACATTGTACCATACTCTATTATGACACACACGTTTCATACACATTTTGAGTTCAGCTCATTCATAAAATTCATAAAGTTTGTTGACCCACTTGTTTACACAGCAAATTCGTTCATGCAGATGAAATAGTGTACAGAAACATATGAAAAAGGTTACGGCCATTACGCATAAACTTAAAACCAGCACATTTCAAAATTTCCGTCAATTTGCCAGTGAACATGGTGAATTCATCAAGTCTTTACATACACAAAACATCTAGTGTTTTGTCTAGATGAGATGTATTGTTTACAGTAGGCGTTGCCTGTAGATGTTCAAAGTCCACGGTGTGCAGGAATATTCATCAATTTGGATGCTCCGTGCATTTAAACACTTTTGCAAGCATGATAGAGCAATGTACATTTATTTATTTATTTCCAATTTTTATTTATTTATTTCCATTTAAATATCCCAAAAATGACAACATTTAGGTGTAATGTACACGAAGCATGTTCAAATGTAGATGTGGATTTTATAAGGTCTAAATTAAAATGTCTTGACTTACATTGTACTGACCGAAAAGTTATGAATAGGAATAAATATGTGCTTGGCTGGTTTTAAACAAGTCCATTTAAGACCCAAGCCAAATGTCCATTCCCCAAACCAATCTTAAACATGCTTGTTTAAAACTGGCCAAGCACTTATTAACCCTTACCCTACTTGACCCTCCAACGCATGCCAATTGTGCCTCAAGAAAATCTATGTTTTTTGCATGGCCCTCCAATATCTGCCATGTCATTTCAAGGGTAACTGGACAGGCACTCCAATACATGCCACAGAGAACAATGAGAGTCCTCTGATAACAAAGTGAGTGCCCCCAGCTGGTCAGTATCAGGCACCCTCCAGGGCCTCCAACTCCTGCCAATTGGAGCCTTCACTGCTACATCAAAGTATCCTCCAATAAACTGCAGCTGGAGGGCATTGGCATAACCAACTGACATGCAGTAAACTACCCTCAGAGAGTAAGGGTTAATTCACTTATCGAATATCGACTGTCCACCCGAAATAAACCATGTTATATTTGTTTTACTATACCTCATACATATTCAGTTGCCGAATTTTGTTTTATTATTATGCACCTAAAACAAAATTCGGGGAAACTTGTACAGCTCACCAAAAAATTCAACTTCAATTACTAGTTCGGTTCGTTTGCAATATAATACAGTTATTACAGTTGTAAATACAACTGTTTGCAGTGTACAACTTTCTTTTGTACAGGAGACATCTTTACACGGTCTATAAATTTTCTCCACTACGGCATCATTGAGCTCTGGAAATTAACATTTACGCGAACCATGCAACCATGCATCTCTCCTGGGCGATGTTCGCGCGTGCGTACTGCACCCGTGCGACAGTTCCTCGATTGCTCTGTAAAGCGCATGCGTAGTAGACTGTCGCACGGGTAACCCATGTGACAGTCTACTACGCATGCGTATTTACAATGTGCGTGAATCCTCGCGCGCGCGTTTGGTAAACAGCAAGAATAACATCTGGCACGTAATGGTGAATTGACCAGTGAACGTTTGGCTCTCGATCATGAATATGTATGAGGTATAGTAATACCACATGATCAATATTAATTTATTATTATTACATTTGTCTTGTCACCCACACAGGTTTTCAAGACTCCAGCTGCATGTCTAATTCGTCATGACCCACCAGGCACAGCATGATACTATGATTTCAGGTGCAGTCGGGGCTGACATCATCCCACCGACCGTCAACCCTCTCCTACAGCGAGAGAGAGACAGGGCCACGCTGACCAAGGACCTGGTCACTCAGATGACCTATATGATTGATGATGGGAAGGACAAGACGGCACGCAGACGCCATATTGGTAAGTCTATTATCTGGCCAGGTGTATGCCCCAATTTTTCTTTTTTTTATGTACATGAGTATATCAGAAAGTAATTTTATCGTAAGAGAAAATTTGTGTCTCATGCCCAAAAAGATTATCTAAGGAGTGAGACAAAGACGTTTTTTTTTTTAAATAATGCTATTTTTGGTGATTTAGAGGGCATTGTTTTAAAAAGTTTTTTCCGTGGCAGTTTTGGAAATGTTCGGAATACCAGTGCCACTTTTGTGTTTACATGCACAATTACTCATGAACAAAAAAGTGGTGATCTTTTATTTGATTTGCAATTAAACACAAATAATGAATGTTTATGAGTGCGATGGTAAGAATAATTTCATGAGGTGACAGCGGACTGTTCAATCGAATGGAACATTCTATTTGTCACAGAATGAATTTGTTCTTTCCATTGAACTTATGTGAAAAACACATTATTTGTTTTATACAAAACCTGAATTAAATCCTCGTCATCTGATTGGTCAGATCCACCCTGCAATGGAACTTCTATTTACCATGGAAAGTAACTGCCATTTTGCAGTGCTGCCGGGCCGTGCGTTTGAATAATCCAATGGGCAATTCCACGGTTACTCACGTTACATTGTTGATGTACTTTTGAGTTTCCTTGGGCTGTAATTACCTTACTGAAAAGGTTAAATAGCAGTTATCCCCATGGTAGATAGAGTAGACCTAGACCTACCTAAGCACCAAAGATGACATCCAGAAAAATGTTTTATATACATGATAAACAAGACGTACAAAATCAGTTACTCACTTTACGGTAATGTAACGTGTGTAACCGATTTTGTGCATCTTGTTTATCATACATAACACATTTTCTGGATGTCATCTTTGGTGCTTAGGTAGGTCTAGGTCTACTCTATCTACCATGGGGATAACAGTTATTAAACCTTTTCAGTAAGGTAATTGCAACCCAAGGAAACTCAAAAGGACATCAAAAATGTAACGTGAGTAACCTTGGAATTGCCCCAATGACACAATGAATGATGTAATCGACAATCTACCAATCAGATGATGGGGATTTATACAGGCTTTGTATAACAACAAATACAGAAATTATAGCTCATGTCGACTAGTTGCTACCCAAGGGACTGGCCACTGTGAAAAGGTGGCCACACTCAGTGCTAAGATTTAACATGTGTTCAATTTAATACTGTGAGTGACCCAAACTGACTAGGACAGGTGGCCGCACTATGAGATTGACAAAGAAGCACATCGGGCAGATAGCTAGAAATAGTGCTGATACTGTTACATGTATGCAGAATTTACAGTGTATAGTTTTAGTACAACAAAAACCTGCACAGTATCAAAACTGCTGATAGAGCTGTTCAAGAATGGTCATGATTCTTAATTTTTGTTGGCACTTTTTTATAATTTTCTTACAATCTTATCTCAAATTCAGTTCAGTGATCACCCTCTTTTTTCAATTATCATGTTTATTAACATTGTTTTTATCTTTCTGCCCTTTTGCCAGAATCCAGTCTGTTTTCAGACCCTCTCTTCAGTGAGCGAGACCGCTACATCCGGACCTCAGCGGAGACCTTCGACATTGGTGTCAAGCGTTCCATCCGACTGATTGACTTCAAGAAGGTTCACAACATCACGTTCTCAGAGACATGGGATTATGTCTACAGGTACAAATGATTTATTCAAGGGATCTTCATGCCTGTCAATCAAGCAGTGCACATTGACCGATTCTTGTAAATATTTATTATTTTTGTTATTTCTGGTAATGAAACCAAGGGTTCCTCAAATGCGCCCCAGGCACTGTAGCTCACAAGCCTGAAGAAACCTGTAGAGAGAAGACAATGAGTAGAAATTACAGCTTTAGAGGTGGAAAGAAGGCCCCAGAAGAATATTCTGGGGAAAGCCCACGGAATCAGGCAGGGACTGAAAACCCAATCCACATGTTGGTGCAGGCGAGATTCGAACCCGGGTCACAGCGGTGGAAAGCGAGGAAAGTACCGCTGCACCAATCTGAAATTGTATATGTCCCTTAAAGGGGACATTTGGTGCTTGTGTTCTTGGGCAAGGCACTTTACTATCATTGCCTCGTTTTTTACCAGGGAGTATAAATGGGTGCATGTGACAGTAGAGACCACATTACGCCTATCATAAGCTGCTGCAGTGTTTCATTCCTGATGAAAAAGGATAAAAATTCTGACCATATTTTGTTCACATTCTTATGGAATTTGCTCAGTCATGTCAGTGTAAGTGTACAAATTATAACAATTATTAAGAGGGGTATTGTGAGTCCCAAAATTCTCTCACAAATATATTTGGAATAACCTCACAATTGATACGTTTCCAATTTAGTTGCCTTAATTTTCCCCAGAGCGTTGACCAACGACTTGACTTTTGGGGTTCATGACCTGATGTTTGTGACCTTCATTGACCAACAAGGCACCGAAGAGCAGAAGGCGCGATGGTTGGGCAAAGCTAGGAACATGCAGATCATGGGAACGTATGCGCAGACAGAGTTAGGCCATGGTGAGTTTAACAAGAGTGATACCGAGGAGTTGACTTTGATGACTCTTGCTTCGGGGGTCCATCCGCAGCCGATTTCACAAATCTGTATCATGTAACACAACAATGAGGTTATGTCACATTTTCATGAAAATTTCACATTGTATAATAATTCTGCATAAAACTACCTCATAACTTTCAAAGTCTTAAGGGGGAGTAAGTTACAGCACATGATTGAAAAAGTACAGGATTCTGGTGGCTAAACTTGGTAGTCATTGAGCCTGTCAAGGTTACTACATGTATGTACAAAAAATTTACAGCTAGTTGTGTTAAATTTTTACAGCTTTGCGATTTATGAAGTGCTGTTTCATCTGTGACAGAATTGTTGAGAGTTGCCGCCTTTTTTCAAAGAAATTCGGACAGTAACCAGTCACAAGTAACAGGGAAAACAGTTCATTTGAAGTGCTTTTGACTTGACTTAAGAGACTTGAAGACTTGTGATTGACTTGTGAGGAATTTTGATAGACTCAACTACAAACATTGTAGGATATTAATAGTGAATATTACAAATGTTAAAACATTTTTCTTGTGCTCATTTCTTGTCAAATAGGCACCTATATCCCGGGATTGGAGACCACCGCGACATACATTCCATCCACTGAGGACTTTGTCCTCAACTCTCCCACGCTGACATCAATGAAGTGGTGGCCGGGAGCAAGTAGGTTTATAACACCATGAAACCCTTAAGTTATTTGATCGAGGGAGTATTCTTTTTTCCCTTGGCTTTGCCTCATATAATAGTATTGGCCTAAGACAGGTTTTGGATGTTGTTTCCCTTATATCGTGTCGGCCCAAATCCCTGGCAAGCACTGGCGAGCTTTATTGGTGGAGGGTGATATCAATCAGCTGAATCAAATTTAGTCTTAGCAGCTATAGCACTTATACCTGTGAAATTCTGAATATACATGTACCTCATGCGTGCTATGGTCTCTGTGTGCGAATAAGAGACAGCTCCTTTTGACCACTTGACCAGATGGGACACACCACATGTGCGTACTGGAATGAGCACGGATAGTGCGAAGTACGCAACTAATTTTATGCTGAAAGTGCACAAAGGCATAGTGTCTTCGCGAGAGCGTCAGGCGTCGCCAACAACGAGTTCGACTGTATCTTTCAGTGGTCTCCCCCAAATCTTACAGTTGAGGGGGTACTTGTGCATGGAGCCAAATATCAAGCAAATGCTTACCTTTGAGGTATGCTAATAATTTTTCTGGTCGGTCCGCGAGCAAAAGTTTCAAAAGCTGGATTTGATTCATCTTGTTAATATCTAGACTTGGACCAAGACTGTGCCTTAGGAATATAGACTAATTCACCGACAACAATTTCTGAGGTGGTACCAGGCTAGCGCAAGTCACGCTCTGGTGTTACGCACACACTCCGGGCTCCTTTGACCAACAGGCTACCAAAGCATTCCCTTCTTGTCTTTAGGTAAGCGTGCCGCGTGTGCACGAGCATGGCGACTTAAAAAATGGCGTCTAAGTTTGTTCAGCGAGAGGCTAGTCTACAAAACAAACGTACATGTAGTCCATAAAAAGGGGACTTCCAACTGATTTGTTCATAAACCATACATGTAGAAATAAAATTTACTTATAAACTGAAGAGTGTGTAAAAAAGAAACAAAGATTCTGGGACACAAAAAATGCCACTGCAATGTATCTTGTATGTACAGGAAAACTATTCTACGTCACAGAGTCAATTCACAACTGTGAAGTTGTTTCCCACAAGAGAACAAAAACAGCATGAATAACAAAAATATCATAATATGTGTAATGCTCGGTCGAAACAATTTTAAAAAATCAATGTGTTTTTATGGGGTGCTGTGGTCCAATGGTTATGGTGTTCGACTCGTGTGCCGTGGTGCTTGGGTTCGAATCCTGACTGTGGGAACATGGTGCTTGCGCTCCTGAGCAAGGCGCTTTACCATTATTGCTTCGTCCTTCGGATGGGACGTGAAGCCGTAGGTCCCGTGTGCTGTGTAATGCACGTTAAAGAACCCAGTGACACTTATCGCTAAGAGAAGGGGTTTGCCCCGGTGTTTCTGGCAGTGGCTGCTTAATGCGCCGCAGCACCTTGTAAACCATTATAAAGGTGCTACATAATGGTTCTCATATTTCCCATGTACTTCATTTACCTGTCTCTACGAATAGACATAATTTCCAGCGCCTTGAGTACCTAATTGTTGGTAGATACGTGCGCTATATAAGACTTCGGTATTATTATTATTATTTATCCATTTCAGTGGGCAAAACATCCACCCATGTCATCCTGATTGCGCAGCTGATAATTGGAGGCAAGAATTACGGCCCGCATGCCTTCATGGTGCAGCTGAGAAGTCTGAAGGATCACAGTGTGCTCCCAGGTAAAATGTATTTCTGTTCTTTTCTAAGATGTGAGGCGTTTTGGCAAAATGAGATGGAACTGGGCACAGGTCGTAGTGGAGCAAAATGCAAAAAAACTGAATGGGATGATTTTTCTTCCAAAAAGTTTTCCCTAACTAGTTTTGACAATATTTTTGTTGTTACATTTTTTAGGCAGATCTGTTGGAGCCATCGGAGACAAGTGGAACTTTGGTGGAGTTGACAATGGCTACTTGTCTCTGGAGAATGTACGCATCCCCAGGAAGGATATGTTCATGAAATACTCCCAGGTATGTGGAAATATTCATTAACCCTAACCGCCCTGAATCCTTCAAAATCCTCTTTGCCAAAGTGGAGGAATTTGGAGGATTGAGGTTACATGGCAAATTTACAGTCACTGCCGCAGATTTTGCAGGATTCAGGCAGTGGTCACCCTTCCACAGACCATATTCAAGAAATAATGGAGGAATTTGCAGGATTGAGGCTAAAATGTATTTTTCCATGATGCCAGTTGGAGGATTTTGCAGGATTGACTGAGGCTACATACATCCTAGCAAAAAGGCGTAGGGGGTTAGGGTTAGAAATAGAAATGCATACATTGTACAGTGTTTGTGGAAACAGGAAAAATTCTTCCTTTTTTTTGGTTTCTTTTTTGGTAAATTTTACCAGTTACAAGAATTTGATGTAGTCATGTCAGCATGTTGAGTTTGTCACAGACATTGTTGACATACAGCGACACCAAACCGTCCTGTTCTTGTATGTTCAGGCCTGTATCTGTTTCAAGGTGGCATTCAGCGTTGTGCTAAGAAAAAAGAGGATTTGTTCAGGTCTACCCAAATGGACTTTTTGGTTTCAGACAGGCAGGCTTTTTGGATTAATTCTCTATTCATCAGGCATGCAACTTTTCCTCGGATCAGCTGATTTCCTCTGTTTTCACTTCCAATGTGTGCCATTGAAAATAGAAAAATACTGTACAAAGTCTTGGAAAGATTTGACTTCCCAGTTGCATGCCTGATTCATGAATATTTGAGACAGTTGACCAATCCCTTTTGGTTGAAAGCCCATCAGGTGGTGGGTTTAAACTGTTGGTAAAACACCGCTGTGTTCTGGGCCACTTTGCGCAGTGTGCACCGCACGCGCACCTTGAAATGCCCATAAAGTTTGAGCACTACGCATGCGAGGCACGTACCATAGACATGGCCAGAGGGGTGTCTCACAAAACGTTAAGGACAATTGTTGAAAAAAACTGGTTGGATTTTTTTACCAAAAGGTATTTTATGAATTGAAATAAATATCAGCAGGGGTCGTTATCCGTGTCCACGCCCCTAGCCGGTTTTAAATGAACTTCATTCTGGGCCCAATTTCACGGCGCTGCTTAACAGTTAGCAGAAAAGTTGTGCTTGGCATAGCAGACAAATTTGCTAACCTTAAGCACTATTTCATGTGCCATGTAATAGACGGAGGATCTGTTAGCAGAAAATCGTGTGCTTAGCACTGCTGTGAAATTGGGCCCAGGCCCCTTGTCGGTTTTAAACGTACTTGCTTAACACCGGCCAAGCATATTTGTATTCACTTATTTAACTATATTTTTCTCTACAACTATGGTGCAGTCCATCTTTTTTGTAGTCACTCCGAATGGTTTCCAACATCAAACTTTCCATGTATACCTAATAATTCGGACATTAAGAATAATTAAATTTGCCCAACGCTGTATTGCCAGTCTGCCACTGGTATTTCAGTCACGTTTTCTGGCCTCATCTGTACGTATCTCAGGTGGCACCAGACGGTACTTACAGCAAGAAGGGTAACCCCAAGGTCATGTACACTACCATGATGGTGGTCAGACTCAAGATAGCCCAGGAGTGTTGGCAGTCCCTGGGCCGTGTCCTAACCACGGCGATCCGCTACAGCGCTGTCCGCAAGCAGGGCCCCATAGATCAAGGGTGAGTTACAAAGTTTTGTGGGCCATCTCTGTCAGAAATATTCATTTCTGAAATGAAGTCTCGCTGTGGTACAGTGTGTTTACTTAATCAAATTTGTCTTTTACTATGTAAAAAATAATTGATTTTGAACCAACAGAATTGAATTCTAAAAGCAGGTTTGTCTAGACTGCACCATTTGGGCTGTAAAGTACGTTTCACACAAAGTGATATTTGATTGCACAGTTCATTAAAAAGTAGTAAATAAAATTGAGCACAAGTACATTTCAAGGCATTTCAGTTTGTGTATTTACATGTATCTTGCAAACTCGACGTTCAAGCCATTCAGGTTCTAGTCTTGATAAAGTCACACATATATTGTTTTTGTCCAAAACATTACTTCAAATACATGTACATTTGCTCTCATTGTTGTGGGACCTGGTTTTCCACTTTTCCAGTTTGGGGGAAATTCTCACTGCTATTGTCATGCTTGGTCACAAGTAAATACATGTAGATCAGTCACTTATGACCCAACTCACTACATACACAACATATAATCACAGGGCTAGTTGTAAGAAGTATGGCTTATTAACAAGTCTTGCACAATAAAACTGAACAGTCAACATTTCATCCATGAAAAGTCTGGATTTACACATGTATATATGTATAACTGATATGGGCTCCTTGCACAAGTACCCCCTCAATGGCAAGAAAAGGAGAGTTGGGGGAGACCACTGGAAGAGACATTTCGAACGCATAGCCGACAACGCCTGATGCACACGTTAAGACGCTATGGCTTTGTGTACATTCAAAACAAATAAGTCGTGCATACTTCGAGCTATACACACGTCAACCAGTACACTTCGCCCTCTTTTGATCATATATATAGTGTGCACATATATAGCCTATAAAGACCTGAGTATGCTCCTCTGACTGCATATATGAAAAGTTGTCAAAAAAAATATATTGTTAAGATTCACTTTGTAGGATCACAATTAAGGTTGTACTTTAATTTTGTTTCAGGGGCCGCGAGGTAGTGATTCTGGACTATCAGACGCAACAAGAGAAGCTCTTCCCAGGTCTGGCCACGGCCTACGCCTTCAATGCCGTCGGCAAACGGCTCCAGGAAGTCTTCAACAAAGTCCAGGCAGACATTGAGAAAGAGGACTTCAGCAGTTTGCCTGAGGTAGGCAATAGCTGACAATATAGTTGCAACTTATCTCAGCAGTGCATAGTCAGTGTTCAAACAATTTTCTAGGAGAAAAAAAAATCTCACAAATTAACATGCTAGGGATGGACTCTAACCTATGTCTTTCTGCTTAAATGCAGTTGTCCTAACAACTCAACCACTGAAGTCGCCTTAGTGGATGAGCCGGTTTGAAACTGACATAGCAGCTGGTATCGCTATCACGATCATGTTTGATCAAATTATCATGTCACAGAAACTTTCCGGTTCAATTTGATACCTCACTCATGTCACTTGGGAACACTGTGTAAAAAACATAACAAGAGTGCAAGCACTGAAGCTCCTGAAACCCCAAAACTAAAAGTTGCACTTAATAATTAGCAAGACTTACAATGGGCATTGCAACACACAATTGAATGCAATGATGCAGGCCCCGCATTCAATTGCGTGTTGCAATGCCCATTGAAAATCTCGCTTAGTGCAACTTTTAGTTTTGAGGAATCAGGAACTTTAGTGCTTGCGCTCTTGTTATTTTTTTTACACAGCTGTTCCCAAGTGAAGTGATGGAAAGAGTATTTCAGATTTTTTGTTCGCTGAGAAGTGTCCAAATAAGGACGATTATAAAAACTGCTCAATTTCTTTTTGTACCAGGTGTATTCTGGACAGCTCTAATTAGGCTCATTAATTAGTTGAGGCTGTTCTCTCGCTAGCCAAGAGTTAACAATCTTTACTTTCACTCTACAAATGTTGACCTCACAGCTTCATGCCCTGACCTGCGGCCTGAAGGCTTTCACCACCGACACCGCTGTGCGCTTCGTTGACATGGCCCGCTTTGCTTGCGGTGGGCACGGCTTTCTGCTCAGTTCCGGTCTGCCATACAGCTATTCGCGACTGTCGGCTGGCTGCACCTACGAGGGGGAAAATACCGTCATGATGCTTCAAGTGGCAAGGTATTCCTGTCCCACACTGCCTTATGCCTCATGAATATTTATGGACCAATCTAATAATGTCATTGGTCGATATTGGTCACAGAGTTGCTGTTATTTGTCGGTTCAGTGCGCGACATCGCGTAGCTGCAATCTGCTGAATGAGAACGTGTCCCGGATGCTGATTTTGGGCGCAATTCAAAACATATTGAAACTTTCAGATGAAATTGAGACCCTGGAACACTGTTTTCTGGGAATGTACAGCATTCACTGAGCTAAAATTTCATCAGGTTTAATAGCTGTTAAGCTCTCGTCTTTAGATTTTGAGCACTTTTGTTGCTTCAAACAAAACAAATGCACAAATGACAAATGTTCTACCCTACCTTTAGTCAGGTGTGTGCTACAATATAAATATAGCAATTCAGTTTGGGTTTCCACAACCCAAAATTCAGACCAACTGTGTTTAAACGTCGAGCAAAGAAACTTCTATTGAGTGACAATTTATCTCTTTCCCCTCTGTGCATTGTCATAGGTACTTGCTCAAGAGTGCCTACGCTGCCCAGAATGGAGGCACTTTAGCGTCGTCAGTAGCCTACCTGGCTGAGGATACCAGCGGGCAAACATGGCCAGCACAGACAGAGACAGATGTGGTAGACAGCGGTCTGCTCTACAAGGCTTACCAGCACCGAGCCTATCGGTAATTGTTGGACCTTGCTTTGGCATCAGTATTTCATTGTATTACATTGTGTTTATTCCTCGATATATCCTTGAAATTCACATAGTGCTGGGTATGGGTGTGCATCAGAACCAGGGACCCGAGTACACGACTGCTGAGGTCAGGAACCTGTTCCAGATTATGGGCATTGGGTACCCATAACCACCTTTACAAATATGAGTAACTTTTCAGACAATTCATTTTTTTTTTTAAATGCTTCTTGTTAGGAATTATCAAATTGAAACCAGGCTTGATTGAAGTTTTTGATTGAACTTGACTTTATTTCATCTCATAATTTACATGAGTACAAGGTGATAGGCAGATAATAAATACAATTAATAGAGATGCGGAATCCATAAGAAGCTTAGCTTGTGGGTATGGACCCCGATAATCAGCATGATTATACATACAAATGGATTATAAACACAACAAACATGAAATAAACAAGACAATGGGGATGGAAGGCAAAAACCGGAATAAATGGAAATAAATTACAATAATGTGTAGGTAAAAATGATGATAGAACAAAATCATTTACATAATCAAGAAGAACACCTCTGATCAGTAGCTAAACGTTAATAGTGAAAAGACTCAAAGTTGAATCAAACAAGAGAAAATCGATTCCATTATAAAGTGAAAATAAAGAATACGTACATGTCGAAAAGTATCATTAGAATGAAATATAATGGAAAACAAAAACAGACTTCATGTTTATAAATATTTTAACAAGTGACGGGCGACCCTCGCAAAAGTTGCAGTTTACAGGGTAAAGCTATGAAGCCCTTCAGACAATTTTTTGGATTTGAATATTGGGGTTTTCTGGTTCCTTTTAGGGGTGCCTTTGTTTTACTTCAATCTGGTGTCCCGTTGTTGCACACCACAGTGCTGGGGAGGTTTAGGGTGGTAGAGGGAGTGAGTGGCAGGGTGGTGTTGGTTTGGACAGGGACTATAACTGTTAACTGTCAGTGATTGGTTTTTCATCATATAAAACTATCCTTATTCAGTTTTGCAAGGTTTTGTGGTTTAAGCTGATTCCCCTATTTCCAACATGTCCAAATTCTTATCGATGACAACGTTGTTGGAAAAGCTCAGTATTAGCTGTATACTACTGCCAAACCTGGTTCACCACAGCGTGGAGCCAAGACTCGTAGTCAATTAAACAGGCATGCCACTTTTCCTCAGAACCGCTGATTTCCTCATTTTTTCCTTTTTTTACTCATGAATGCCATTACAAATTGAAAAACACTGTACAAAGTCTTGTGTGGTTTGGAATGTTCTCGTTTTTCCTAAATTCCCAGTTGCATGCCTGTTAAAGGAGAGAGTGACGCAGTAGAAAGGAGTACGGTGCAGGATAATTCTTGTTGCCACTAGTAGTTTGCTTTTTGCGTTGCATAACTTCAGCTGCCAATAATAATAATAATAAAAGGAATGCCAGGCTAGTACAAATAAAGTAATCGACTACAGAGCTGATACGACAGCGTCCTGACATGAAACAGAGATGATACATGTATTTGAGACAATAAACCAGCTAATCTTCTTGTTTCTCCTTTAAATCTCCCCACATTATTCTCCTCCCTTTGTGTACAGTCTAGTCAACCAAGTTGGTCAGCGCATGGCACAGCTGATGGGCCAGGGGCAGTCGCAGGGTGTGGCATGGAACAACTCCACAGTAGACTTGGTGCGCGCTGCCAAGGTAAAGACCACTTTGTTTTTTGCATGGTTGAGAGACTTTGAGAGTTTGTAACTGTCCAACTAAACGTGGCTGTTTGCACAGTTAAGGCTGTGCGTTTTCGAATAACTTAATATTACATTCGGGCTTTCACAATGCAGTGCGCAGTTTGCCACAGAGAGTTCATTTTTCCCAGTGTATTGTGGGAGATGGTCCACAAATTCGCAGGACAGGACATTTGAAATTGTTTTTTTTTTTTCGGTCAGTCGTTTCGTAAGCTCATGATTAGAGTGTATGTTTGCCCTTTTCTTTGCCAGTGCAAAAAGCGACCACAAAAGAATGTTATGATTCTCCATTGCGATGCATTCATGACTTGACGAAACCATTGAGCTTTAGCTAACAATAGTTTGTGAATCTCATGCCTTGCAAGTTTGAATAAAAGTTATGCTTCAAATTCCCAAATAGCTTTTAAAGAGAAAAAAAAATGTTATGTGATGGCAGCACAGGATCCAGTTGGAGGAAGAAAGATAAAGAACCAGCCAAGTTCAGTAATCAATTGTAAATGCCAGCCAAAAATAAAGCAAATTGGAACTCAATTGTGTATAATGACCCAGCCAAAATTGCAAAGTATCAACATACATACATAGATAGGTCTTCAATCCTTCGGATTTCTGTGCTCCCTTTGAAAACACAATTATAAAATTATGCTATAAATGGTTTCTTGGATTAAGAAACATTTTCACAAAGTGAAAATGTCATTTATGTTTTTAAAGATTCAATAACCATGCCAAGCATGTGCCATGATGAATGGCAACATGCACATGGGTATTGTCATGTCTTACTGGTGTACATTTACATGTGAATATCAGGTGAATTTCTGGCCAGACTAGAAGTCTCGGCTTCAGGCACATACCGGTACTTTGTGCAAAATATATTAGAAAATGCCCCTTGACTCAACTTAATTTGTTCTAGGGCAATGACAATACAGTTTTCAAGACGGAGGTACAAATGTATAACAATATTATTTATATCAGGCTGACTTGATTCACAAGAAATAAATTTTATGACACCATCTTAATTTCTCTTTCGTCAAATTATTCTTCGCTTCCATTGTGGTTATTGACAACAGTGCGCGTATACCCTGTTGCGCACTGTGTAATCGTGTGACGGTACTGCGCGCTACGCTCTGTGACAACTTTGAGTTTCTACACTCTTGATTGTGCAAAAACCAATAAAATTTGTTTAAATGCCCAGATGAGCACAATATCAAAAACAATAATTGTCCTCGTCCGGGTACTTTTACTGACCTACTACTACAGTTGTCCAAGTACTTTTTATGAAAGCATGCAATACGCTGATTTATTTTTACTACCGGGAGCCTGAAATAAATAATAATGTTATACTTGGTGTCAGTCTTTGTCTGAATGCTCTTTCTTCAGAACCCACTGTGGTCTCACAATGTATATTTTTGCTTTTGCCTCTATCTCCAGGCCCACATGCAGTTCTACACCATGGCCACCGTCTTTGATGTCATCAAGCCCTTAGCCTTAGACCCAGCCATCCAGTCCATACTGCAGACCCTGAGCTGCCTGTATGCTATCTACATGATGGATCAGAGCATTGGAGACTTCCTAGAGGATGGGTACATGAACACTGACCAGGCACAGATGGTACATGGGCAGTACCTGGCACTTCTAAATGCTGTCAGGTAAGGCAGGAAACGTAGCATTGTTTTGTATAATTTTATTAGGTGGCATGGCTGGCTAGTGCGTAAAGGGCTCGTCTCTTGCCACTGTGACCCTGGTTCGTTCCCAGCTAGGACCACATGTGAGTAGAGTTGTGCTTTGGTTCCCTCCTGTGCTACAAGGCTTTTTCTCCGGGCCCTCTGGTTTTTCTCCCTCCGAAAAAGTCAAACACCTTCGATCTCTGGCTGTGCTCTGTGGTCATATATGGGTTGTATGGCTAGCTGCCTAAGGCGCCTTTACATGCCTTCAGCCCGACCACGTTGTAGACGCGTCCTTAGCAATTCAGCTTCTCAGCTGCGGGTAAGGGAGCGTCTCATAAGTTGGAACGCTCGGAACGTTCTCACACGAACGGCGTGTTCCCAAACTGGAACGCTCCGGCGTTCCATTTGGAACACGGGACCGTTCCGTTGGAACGGCAAAATCCCTTTGCGAGAACGGTCCAGCGGAACGGTCGGGAACACGCGTTCTATTGCGCGTTCCAGCGGAGCGTTCCCAGCATATCGCGTATACGATGGCCCAGTTTCGAATATTTGCCCAAATTGCGTCTGGAAAAATGGCGTCGCGATCTCGGGCAAACCGTGTGTCACTGAACAGGTTTTGCCTGTTTTTGAGGATTTATATATAATATTTGGACGTGATTGTGAAATTTCTGTGATGGTTTGGGTAAATAGTTCAACACAAGGTACGAGTGAGCAGTAATGCAGATGGATTCTTGGTAAATCTAACGATGTAAATATCGTTTCTGTGGTGAAATGTCGGTAGCCCCGAACCTCACATCACATGTAATCGCTACGCTATGGTGAGTGTGTATTCACATCAAAGTATGCTTGTGCAAGAACAATTTGTTTTTTAATAATACTTTATACGCAGTGGCTATTGTTACAGCAGATGTGAAGTTCTCTGTTGAAATTTCGCCCTGAACTTTTACATCGCTACGGTGATTGTGTATTCACGTTTACAATTAATACAGAGCGCATGTTTGTTATATGCAAAAAGTTTGCTGAAATCACCCGACAAAATAACGAAGAAGAAATGAGGATAAAAGCGGAATTTACTATTGACGATGTTCTTTTTGTCAGACAAAATCTACGTTTGAACATATAAAACTCTGACTCCGCGTCCTGCTGCACGGACGGACTCACGTATACCCGAGCGCGAATACCCATCCGTGCAGCGTTCCGCCGGGAACACTGTGTTCCCTCCCCGTTCTAGCTGGACCGCAGCTCGGTGCGTTCCCTTCAAGCCGCGGAACGCACCCGTGTTCCATTGGAAACACGGCACGTTCCCGTTGGAACGCCTGGCGTTCCTACGGAACATTCCATTGGACCGCGAATGTTCCCGACTTATGAGACGCTCCCTAAGGATGATTAGCCTCCCAAATTATTAATATTATCTCACGGTCACATAAGGTGCTCTTCAGTTCTGTCCATTTCTTGTGTTACCTACATGTACTCTATCGTATATTCCTTTCCTACTGCATGACATTACAACTTAAAACCAGTTAGGGGCTGGTCGCCGATAATTATTCAAGCCTTCCCCTTATTGGCGGTTAGGCCCCTAACTGGTGTTAAACCTTAACTTTATAACTGCTCTGCCACACTGTCATCCAATAATAATTCTGCTTTGTACAAGTTATACATGCATCCTCAGGCCCAAGTGGTTCCTCAGTAGCCATTTGTCTCTTTGTGATGGACCACTTGTGGGCAATTGTAAATAAAACTTGATGCACTGTAGGGAGCAATGATGGGCATTACGGTACTGTAATGTGTGTCGCCAAGTAGATCCCCTGCCTGCCTGGTCGCGATATTTTTTTGTTTACACTTTTTGAATCAAGTGTATTGGGTAACTGTTTTTCTCAGGCCTGAAGCTGTGCCTTTGGTGGATGCCTTTGACTTCTCTGACCTGACTGTACACTCAGTGCTGGGATGCTATGATGGTAACGTGTATGAGAGACTGTATGAGCATGCCCTGAGAGACCCCAAGAATAAGACAGAGGTAAGTCCAAGATGTGCACTTTAAAGGTAGAATGGACCTTTTTGTCAGTTAAGAATTGCTTTTTCTTCATTTAAAGCAACAAAGGTGCTCAGAATGTAAAGGCGGGTGCTTAACAACTAACTTGATGAAGGTTTAGGTCTGTGAACGCTGTACATTTTGAGAAAACACAATTTTCTGGATCCCAGTTTCAATTCACAAGTTGCCCAGTCATATTTTGAATTGAGCCTTCTCGTGACAAAGTCCTGATTGTAGTTAAGTGATGTCATACACTGAACTGACAAATAAAACCGTGTGCATGTGCATCATGTCAACGCTTGCACCCATTCACAGATTTACCCAACTACAAACGGAAATTTTCAAAAATGTGTCAATTGACACATATTTGGAAATTAGCTTCTTTTAATGTTTTCTTTGAAATGACAGCATGCCAGAAGGAATAATTTCACAGGGAGTTTTAATAATGTCATTACTATCTTTAAACCAAGTACATTGAGTGAGCTTTTTAAGAATAATTTGGTGGGTTACTTTTTGGATAGCTGCAAATGGTCCACTCTACCTTAGTAATGAGGCTGGCTGGTTGGCTAGCTACCTTGCTGTGGAATGAGCCTTTGTTGATCCGAGAGAGATGGATTTGTTGTCATTTTTTTCTTCAAAGCGTTCCTTAACCGGCCTTTGCAAACGTACTCTGTGCCAAGTTGTCCTTTCAGTCAAAATCAATCAAGTGGTTGTTTTCAACAGTTAAGAGCTCCCAGCGTATAGAGCAAGATTGACTGGCTGTGACTTTTTATGTAACTTGATATAGCTTTGCTTTGATTGGGGTTGACTGATAAGACAGCTGTGTGCACCAGTTGCCTGCTTTTGTCTGTTGACTGAATTTGACGAGTCAGAGTGCTTCCCTGAAATATGATGTGATTGTTGGTGATTAGCCTGTGTAAAAGGCATGGCAGGGAACAGGATTGATTTTTTGACTGTCTGTGACTGTTCAAACACCAGGAGGGTTAAAGATCTTTCTTTTCCAAGACCCTCATTGAACAACCCGATTACTTTGGTTATATTGTCGCATGGTGATCGCTGCCATCATTATTTGCGAGATAACTAGGCCATTTGTATACCATACACTCCCATCTGTGCACTAGGTAATCATACCTTTTTGCCTTTATCGTCTAGATTCACGAGACCTACTACAAGTACCTGAGGCCATTGCTGACTGAGCACCAGTCTAAACTGTAACAGGAATCGGCGGGCAGACAACCAGCGTAAAATTGGAAGGTCCACAGTAAACCCTTTAGCCCTTGTACTGCCCCAAACCGCCCTGCCTGTTACTCCTCATTACCGCCCAAAACCGCCCCATGAATTCACGGAGGAGTAATTACAATGTTATACATTTCATACAAGTGCTAAGGGTTCAATAAACTGACTACCAAAGTTTCATAAATGATGCATATCACTCCAGTTTAGTTAAAACAACATCCAAATTGCACCAAATTTTACAACAAAGTTTTGTTTTTATTTATGAACAAATTATATTTTTGAATAAGTACCTTAAATTTGCACTTACTAATTATTTATTATTTTTTATTATAATTCCAATGAATGGCATATAAAGAAGTTGGTAATCAGAATTTATTTTGTAAGGACTACCTCAAATCATTGGGAATTCAAATTGGTTTTGTTTTAATATGATCTTGAGATGGTATTGCATTTGTTGAATTGACCGATTCTAATTATTTTGGGAGCTTACACAATGAAGGATATGGAAAGTCTGATCAAGGAAAATAATTTATTTCAAGTTAGGCCAAAAAAAAAAAATATTTGGTCTCTGGTCAGACCAAAGTTCCGGAATTGACGCGGCCACGCGGCTTTTTTTTTTTTTTTTCTTGAAGCTTGGATTGTACAGACAAGGTGGGTACTATTTTGCTTTTTTGGTGTCCTCATGTACATTGGTGTCCTCCATAATTTGCCTTGGTGTTTTCGATCATTTGCCTTTGTGCAATTTCCCATTCCTTGGTGCTCTTTGGTAAAAAAAATTGAGGTGTTGGAGCTACCGCGGAACATTTTGGAGAAAAAAAAGATTGACGCGCATGATTAAAATCGACGCGTGCGCTGACCAGAGACCGACTTATTTTTTTTTTGGCCTTACATATAAATTGTTACCATTTCATGCTTATCACAGAATTGCATTCTTACAGCAGCCACTTAAAATTTATGAAGAGAAAAAGTTCAGGGTACACCTCTTTAACGTAAACCATCACTCAGGCACAGAGAATGCAAACTAGGAATAAATGAAGTTAAGTCCAGGGGCATATTCTAATATATTTTGCACAAAGTATTCACCTGAACCTGAGACATCCAGTCTGGCAAGAAATTCACCTGATATTCGCATGTAAATGTACACCAGTAAGACATGACAATACCCATGTGCATGTCGCCATTCATCATGGCACATGCTTGTCATGGTTATTTGATCTTTAGAATATAACTGATATCACTTTGGAAAAATGTTTCTTAATCCAAGAAATCATTTCTGGTTTTTAATTAAAGCAGAATTATTCAGAGGGTACATAAACGTCTGAAAGATTGAAGATCTACATATATGTACATTGTATGTATGTACATGTATGTTGATACCATGCTATTTTGGCTGGGTCATGATGTACATGTATATTTACAATTGGGTTTCAAAAAAAGGGAGGGAGGAATGTAGATGGAATGGCTTGTTTCTGGTTGGCATTTACAATTGATTTACTGAACTTGGCTGGTTCATTAATTTTTCTTCCCCCAGCTGGATCCTGTGCTGCCATCCCATAACATATTTTTCTCTGCAAGTTATTTGGGAATTTGAACAATAAGCTTTATTCAAACTTGCAATGCATGAGATTCACAAACTATTGTTAGCTCAAGCTGAATGGTTTTGTCAAGTCATGAATGCATCGCAAGGGAGATCATAAGATTTGTTTGGCCCTACCACATTAACAGTTTTTTTTGTTTTAATACTGCAACAGCGTAATCATTCGTAACCTAAAGTTAAACAAGATGTGCTTGTACGTGTAGCATGCGTAGGTATATTTTGGTCTAATCAAATATGTAGTGCACATAAATTGAGACATTTCATTATCCTTAGGATCACATAAATGTATTCGTACGATGTATTCTTTCACCAGCACTGCCGACTTTGAAACCTATTTGTCAGAGAATGAGGTGTGTTGGTTTGACAAGAATATTATTTGCTTTTTAGCTTAAAAGGTGTTTGGAGCTGTTTGGAAAAGCCTGACCTGGATGGACAATCTGTCGAGGAATGAAGGAATTCAGTCAGTTTCAAGTGACAAAATGACCAAGTGCTTTAAGTGGTTTTATGTATCACTGTACTTGTGATTGTTACAATTTATATGCATGCATACTTTAATACACCTGTGTAGCTTACGTCACTGTCGGCAGGTATTTTTGTTCCCGTTATACCCATGGGTATAGACAAGGTCTTTCGATTGTCGATGAATTTATATGACAAAACCTGTCCCCAGGGCGTACTTGTGCAGTTAGATGTAGAGGATACATTCAAGGATCGGAAAATCCTGTTACATGTAGCTTTCGGATAGTTCAGTGTATCTATGAGTGTTAAACTTATATTGATATAAATTGTACAGAAATTGATTATGCAAATGAAATAGAAAAATAGATTTGTATTTTATTTCCAATTATTTTATTGGTTTTTAAACAATCTGGAGTCTTCAGATGATATCGTACTCGTATTGTAGCATGGGATTTGGACTCCTATGAAATTCTTTGTTGGCCACCCACCATCACACTGAACCATGTACTGGTATGTTGTCAGTGAGGTCAAAGGGTCTATTTCTTTTTGGAGTCTGAATTTCACGGCAAAAAAGAAGGGACTGTACGTACTCTGGTTGTAGGACTGAAATAAGCGTTAAGTTTAATTTGATTGATTTAAGTTGATTTTCAAGAAAAATGTCCCCTGAAAATGAAACAAGTGCTTAATAAACTGTAGGTACATGTCTCATGAAAAAAGAACAAGTGTCATGTCTTGATCCAAACTTTCATGTCATTTTCTTTGTCGGGTTTTAGTCTTTGTTACAGACATTGTGATAGCAATTTGTGGGCGATAGCCGTTGGTTATAATGCTATCCTGATGTGGCGCATGATAGCGTATACAATATTGTTGATGCGCATGTACTATCATGCACCCACATCAAGATAACATTTATCGTAACGAACTATCTCCCACAAATCGCTATAGCAATGCCTTGGGAATCTGGTAATGTCATGAGCGCGCACCTGTTTTGCCTTAGAACATGTAGAATGTACATGTACATGTATGCATTGTAATTTTCTAATGACATGAACCTGCAAACAGCTATAGCACTGAACTTTCAGAGATTCCCAAAAATATTGTGATAACGGTTCGTGGATGATAGCAGTTCAGTGTAAATTAATACTAGCTAATAGTGCCCCTTGCGGCCTGGATCATTAAACCACTATCAACTACGCCTTGACCGATTGTTGTACCATATGTATATTCCTATGGATAGCCAACATGACCAAGGACTTATGAAGTCTTGAAAAAGGACCAGACAGTGTCAAGGGTATACACTGTGTCGGGTCTACTGAATGTTTCAGACATATTTTGACATCCGAAATGAATTGCAACACAACAAGGGTATCTGTTGATACTTTTAATTGTGTTTGTGAATACCATCAACTTCATAAATTTCAATATTAACTGCATGAGCTATAAATACATTGTACAAGGCTTCGTTGTTAAAAGAAACATGTAAAGTAAAATTCATTCCAAAATCGGTTGATTTTCAGTGTGACACATTTGGCATTATCTTAACAAGTTTGCTTCAGCAAAAAGGATTAGTTGAAAATCTCCGAAATTAAAAGAATTATCACAAAAGGCACTGAAAAAACTTTCAAACTATTAGTACAATCTATTTGTAAAGAACGCAAATAGTAGTGATTTACAAATACATGTACTGGAAGCACAATGTGAAAATCATACTAAGCACAACTCTTGAAAACAAAAAGCAAAGGACACTTCAGACTATCATCTGGTTGACTAAATTTATGTGAATACAATTAAATAATGCAAAAAAATTTAAACTGAACTTCAAGGTGTTACTTGAATCATCTAAGGCAATCTACTTTTTAATGGTACAATTCGTCTTGTGCACCAAATTGACGTATCGTCTATGGACTTTGTGCAGACGATACATCACTTTGTGGTGCGACCATGGCAAATGACATTGTGGAATTTTGGAAATGTGAACAATTTTCATGCAAATACATGTACAACGTAAAATGTATGTGAACCATTTTCTTCTATTTCGGTTACTTAACAGTTCAAAAATAAATATAAAGAAGATGACAAAATGAGACTTCCTTAAGGGTTTGCATGGTGGACATGATCAATGATTGGGGTTTGCGGTAACACCATGTGAATGATATCTCTTAGTGAGTTGTGTATTTCTGAGAAGAACCAGTTGGTCTAATGTAACTCAACAATTTGAGCAGTATGCTGTGTTTGTCATCAGGAGACTGCCGGACTCTTGCTGGTGTACAAATATAGTAGTTGATACCATAGTCTGTTCCAGAATCTCCCGCCTCAATGGTCCACTGAAAAGCATCCGCTACTAAAACTACATTGTACTTCACCAGCAAGAGTCCGGCAATCTCCAGATGATGAACAGAGCATACGGTTTGAAACGTTAAACCAAATGTTTCTTCTCAGAACCACACAACTAACTAAGAAATATCATTCACATGGTGTTTCGGCAAATCTCCCATTCAATGAACATGACAAAACTTACCCCCCCAAAAAAAATCCACGGAAATGAAAGGCATACACATATTTTTGAAGCTCAAAAAATAAAAGCATGACAGGTTGTAACCATACCACCCCGTCTATTACACCATGTATATCACCCGAAACTGTCCTAGCACTCAGTGAATAAGCATAAAGTAATACAATGTACTACAGTGCTATTGGGTCAAATGATATTGGTCATTTTACCAGACATGCCAGATGTTGAGTGGATCGAGTATTAACAATAATCCACAAACATGCTTCACAAGCGATAATTAACGATAAAAAAACGATAATTAAGTACATATGAAATGTAATATCAAAATTCTGAGTTTAGTCAGTTGTATGAAACACAATTCCTCTTACATGTACTTTTCTTAAAGGGAATATACATCATTTGCTTTTGCTGTAATTTTCAGAAATGGATGGAATTGGGGGGTTGGAAATATATAGCAAATATAGTTACACTGACTTTTTTGAGGTTTTGGGTTCGAAAATGCTATAAAAACCAAGAAAAACAATCATTTTCCTGTAGTCTGGTTCCCTGACTCCATATAAGAAGAAACAGAGCAGTTTACATACATTGGGGAATTGTAAGGTCAGGGAACCAGTCTAGCTGGCTCGTACCCGTTCATAGGTTTGTAATCGATTGCAAACAAGTGCGATGGTCAATTGGGGCCAGTATTTGAAAAAAAGCCAGTTTTTTCCAACGCTGATCGGCCGATCAGTGTTGGAAATTGATACAAAAATACCACTTTTCTTGAAAATGACAGTAAACCAGGTGCCATGATTTTACAGGATGCTTTACACTGTCATTCACTAACAGTCCAGCAAGGTATTTCAAAATGATTTGGTAGTTTAATTTTTTGATGTTTGCAAATGTTGTATTTTCCCTTTAATGAAGAAAGTAATGGAATATGGTATTTCAAATATCTTTGAGCATATTTCAATATTTCAATTATAAGACACAGTTGAAAAGTATGAAAAAATAGTAAGTACACATGTATGCAAATCATTGTCACAGTGCCA